TTAATATTTGAATTTCGAACGTCAAAATTTTTAATGCGTGTTCTATAGTCTACGGCAACGCTATGGCATGTTACAATTTTATATTTAGTCTGTATCCTCTTCCACTTTTGGCGCCATTCAATCGTTACTTTATTGGCCTTTTTATTGTAATTGATATCAAGTCGGTATTTATAATCTAGCTGAGAGTATTTTAAGCCCTCATAATAAGAAGTCCTTCATTCTAGATTTAAAAAATAACTTATTTTAAGATTTGAATTACGAACGTCAAAATTATTTTGTATACACAGAATAAACCAAAATTCTATTGTCTATGGCAACACTGGCTTGTTACAATTTTATATTTATTAAGTATTTGCTCCCGCTTTTGGCGCCATTCGTTATCTTATTGCCTTTTAATAAATACGGTTTAATTCATTCGATAAGATATGTCTGAAACTTACATTAAAATATTTGCACATTTTATTGTAAAATTGTATTATAATAAATACTTTAATTGTTTGCATTAACTAACATATAATATATTCAAAAAAAAAATTTTTTTGATACGGGTGGAATTTCGTATGCCGCCTCGACGTCCGATGATGAAACTCAGCTGCAGGTATTAATCAGAACAACTCCTCTGAACACTCTCTTTTGTTTTATTTGAATATCGCCTAATTTTATTATATCTCTCCTTTTTACTCCTGTTCTTCTTTCCATGCAGTTTTGATAAATTTTTATTCGATTTCCCAGTTGTTTGTCAATGCCCAGGTCTGATATTTTCGTATTTTAAATAGAAAATAATCACTGGCCTCTTTTCATTTAACTTCTATGAAGGCTAAACTGCTTAATTCACAAGAAGTTATCTCAAGATCTTCACAAATACCATTGACCTAGCGATTTCTATTTCGTTCATGAGAAAGTGACTATACGTTCTGCATGCAAATTTACAAGTAATCCTGGACCGTGCATAGCAAATAATTGTCACCCTCACTAGTTATGCTCGCCTGGTATTCTAAACCTGTTTTCAATTAAGTTGCTTTAAGTAAACTAAGTTTTTGTTTTGTCTTTTGAGGTTGTCTATAAATAATATTTTTAATTAATATGTTTTATAGTAAACTAAAACCTCGTTTTTGAAGTAATTATTTTAAAGGCACATTTGTTGTAGGGGCCGTTCGTTACGTAAACACTTACCCGTTCTTATTGACGTGACAACGTCTTATAATTCGATGGAGCCAGTTGCACGCACGAAAAAACATGACGCATGCGGCGTTACCTCGCTTTGAGGCGTTCCATTTAAGGCTTGAAGTGCAAGCGAGAGCGCGGAACGAGAGACAAAGAGGCACAATCGGCTTCCGCGTTCGGCAGCTCAGTTCTTTTGTTTAAAAAATTTACATAATTGTATTTATGCGTACAAATAAATGTAACTTGATCAATTCAATTGTGATTTCCATTTACCTCCCTTTCTATATCAATACAAAATATCTATAAAACAAATATCTTTCAAGTATCTTCAGTAAACCGACTTTACAGACAACCGATTTTTTTTTACACAAATTACCCACACATGATCTATGCTTGAAAACGAAATGCATTTTCGGGGATTCCTACAAAAATTAATACGTTTATGTACTTATGTACTTTTGAGAGCTTTGTTAAGATGGACGGGGGGGGATAAATAATTCTGCTTATGTAATACTTGAACGGCCCCTAGCTATGGTTTTGTTTAATGTCATAATAATAAAAATAAAATATGTTTATTATTTAACATAAGATAAATGTATTACTTATTCCACGTCATTAATTTGAATTTGTAGGCATCCCTACTCATCGGCAAAGAAGACAGAGGGCCGAGAAAAAAAGCCGGCGTAAAAAAACTCTCGGTACTCTTTTAAAATAGCAAATCATCAAACAACACTTATTTTAAAACAAATATCGCAATTAATTAATTAACAATAAAAAAACTAGCAAAATATTTATCTAGATTAAATTGAACTGGTGGTAAATGTAAAATTAGAAGGATTAAATATGTATTTCTTTTTTGACGTTCATAAGTGTACATTGTGTTACCTATATTAATAAATGAATTTGAATTCGAAATATCTTTGCGATTTTACCGCAAACGTGCCTTAGAAAATCTAGTGAAGATTTTCCTGGCCCTTGACACATTTTCTTAACACCTAATAGACCCGATTAGGATGTGACCGCATTCCTCGTTCAAGGTTTGATTCAATAGGGTTTAAACTCTGGTCTGCTAAACATTCCGAAGGTTGAAAATATGATATGATTAATACTTAAGATTTTCCCGTAGTTAAGAGAAAGAATAATCACTAGCTTATTATTAATAAATATATATTTTATAACGGAGCAAACGGGCAGGAGGCTCACCTCATGTGAAGTGATACCGCCCCCCATGGACACTCACATTGTCAAAAAGCTCGCAAGTGCATTGTCGGCCTTTTAAGAATCTGTATGCTCTTTTTTGAAGGACCCTAAGTCGAATTATTTCGGAAATACTTCAGTGGGCAGCTGGTTCCACATGGTGATGCGCGGCAAAAACTGCCTTGAGAAACGCTCAGTTGTGGAACGACGGACGTCGAGGTGATACGGATGGTATTTTGTATTCTGCCTTAATAATAATAATTTATTTATTTAAGCAGACAACCATAAGTCTATATGGTTATTATTGTATTAGTTACAACATTGCCATAAATATTATATTAGTAGCTTTAAAGTCCGACTTTAACTTTAGTTTTCTCATACGAAAAATATTTTAAACAAATCCGATGCAAATATAAATCTTCATTTTATCGTTAAAGATAATCTTAATTTAAAATTCGCCTTAAGTAATTTAAATTGCGGTGTCCAACATGACAGGTACATTTATTTTGTTGTGTTTTGTTTGCGAGAAATTTATTTTGGAATTAAAATACTTCTTAATGGTTAATAAACAGAATAAATAAATGAGGATGAAAGGTACGTTCTGCAAGTGTAAAGCTTCTTTTTTGGGACTTATCACCCCCACAAAGTCCGTAGGCTCTGTGACCCAAAAAAAACTTGAAACTTCGTGATGCGGAAATGAAGAATGAAACATTCACCCTCGCTCTGTATTCTATTCCCACTCCCCAGAGGCGTTAAACGTTTAACGCAACCTTGTTGGAAGTTGCATTAGAAGTTTCACTTCATAAAGTGTCTTTTAAAATGAGAATCTTCCAGCGCTTCCTGTCCTTCTGTGCCTCCCACCAATTGCCTTCTTCACCGCCCGATCTTAGCCCATGCACTCAAGGACAAGCACTTATAGGCAATACAAACGAAGAAAAAAATACATCGATTCATAAATAAATCTAAAGCAAAATTGATTTCAAAGTGTGAAAGATTTCGTTCAATATAAATTAATAGAATAAATATGTATTTACTAAACATCAAAAACTTCTAGCATTTATTTTTATCTGTGAACGAGCGTCTAAGAAATTATTACTTAGTCACACAATGCGTGTGGGGTAACATCGATTCGACCTACCTGCACTTTTGTAAAAAATATTGTACTTTTAGGTACATATTGTTAGACTTAAAGTCAACTTGTTAAAACCCCTTTTTTAAAATATTTCAATTCTTAGCGGGAGTTTAATTTTATAAATTTATTTTAGGGAATATTTTCATAAAACGATGTACATTACTAACCTACTCTAAAATTTCTCACTTAGTGAATGTAATTCTTTGAGAAATAAAGTATCTTTGAACCGATTTTTTTAATCTTTTGTAATCATCTATAGAAATCTTAATATCCATAGACTATTTAAACATAACAGTAGCGATTGAATTCCTATGATAGCGATCAGATACGACCTTACGGAAACAGTTTCCCCATCAAAAGATATAATCAGACCCTTTATCATTTTACGTGAACCGAGAACGGCATTCACAATTGTTTATAACGGTCATAGTAGCCAAGATATATGATCATATAACCAGGGTTTCCACTTAAATACTAATTCCTACTAAAGGCATCTATATTATTATACAAAACTTATTGACCTAACTCACACACTGTTTGACTGTAAGTTATTTATTTACTTTTTTAAAAAGAAAATCTATAGTTGCAATATTTGTGGATATGTGAGCACCATGTATCTACGTAATAATTTAGTTATCTGCTGCATTGTTTTTTATAACACCATGTGCCTATTTTATATAGTATAATATTTTACATTATAATCAATTTTTGATTATTGGCATTGTTGGCCTAGTGGCTTCAGCGTGCGACTCTCATACCTGAGGTCGTAGGTTCGATCCCCGGCTGTGCACCAATGGACTTTCTTTCTATGTGCGCATTTATCATTTGCTCGAACGGTGAAGGAAAACATCGAGAGGAAACCGACATGTCTTAGACCCAAAAAGTCGACGACGTGTGCCAGGCACTGGAAGCTGATCACCTCCTATTAGATTTAAAAATGATCATGAAACAGATTTAGAAATCTGAGGCCAAGACTTAAAGAGGTTGTAGCGTCACTGATTTATTTTATTTATCAATTATTAGTAATCATAGCAATCAAATATACATTATTCTTTATAATTTATAATTTCTTAGCATACGCAATACAAATATTAAAATAAAAAAATTAACAATTTAAAAGGTTTGATCCCTGTGGCTGTGTACCTTTAACGCTGGCAGATTTCCTCGCTGTATGCGATACTTATTCGTTGAGCGAGGAAAGCTCCAGTTTGGGTCACCGGTACTAACCAGGCGCCAATTTAAATCTTTAATTAGCGCCTGTGTACTTGAACCCCACGGCCCAAGAGTCTCTACTCCAAAGAGAACAAAATCAAAGTTGGAGGATATGATTTGAGACGTTCATTATTAACTTATTAGATTTATTAATTACAATTTTAGTGGTAAGTCACCGATAGACCTTCAATGAATGCCATTTTTACCTTGCCAGCAGTGCCAGCAGTTGCAGAAAGGTCCATCACTTTAGGAAGGTTTTCTTGAATAACCTCGCAGTGTGAGTTTTTCTTTCTATATGGAACCGGCTGTCGTACTGACGGCTGAAAGATTTTGGGTTCAAGAAAAGAGCTTAGGTATGACAGCTGGAAATGTACTTGTAAGAGCCAAGGCTGTACATTTTGCTCAATCAGGCTTTCTTAGTTTTATAACATAACCTTTTCGCTGTGCGTTCGGCTCGCACTGTCCAGCGACAACAAGCGCCCATTCCCCGGTTACTCTCGCTGCTTAATGGGTTTCTCGACTCTTCACCGGAGAGCGACCTATTTGAGAAGCTTATGGGGGTAGTATACTGTGATTTCAGAGTATACCTGGAGGGGATAAGAGGATAGCATTTACTGTAAATTTTGTAACTCTTAATAATTGTATTTTATTGTTTTTAGTCTAAGTTTGGCCATTGGGCTGTAAATAAATAAATAAATAAATAAGCGTGGCGATTTCCTAAATCGTCACTTCAAGTTACATTGCATTAATTCGTTCCATAGCAATTAGCATTTCATTGAGTCTTATTATATGTATAATATGCAAACAAAATGCAGCGTGTACTCAAAGAATTTATTTAATTTTCAATACTAGCTAAAAGAAAAATTTAATGGATAATAATTTTGACATAAATGTTTATAAACTAAAAAGTTTCACGAGATAAAAGTTGTCTGGGTGCTAATGGATTTTCCTCGTCTGCAAAACATTGAGATACTCTGTCGAAGTCTGGCCAAGAAATACGCGGATATTTCCAATACTAAGATGTTCTATTTAAATAGTTTTTTGTACGTTATCGGAATAGGTTAAATAAACAAGATTAAAAAAAACTTATTGGTAGGTACACACTGACACTCAATTGTTAAAAGAAAGCTAGAAAATATAAAAAAACTTTTACTATTATTATTATTATTATCTACTAAGTATTATTACATTCCTTTTCTTCCTTTTTTTGCGACTGAGGCGCAAACTAGCTGATGTGGTCTCTGGCAGAATGACCAGTGCTGTGGAACATTCTGCTCCTCAGCATAATGCTGAGCCAGGGCCAATTACAGCCACGGCACACACGCATTACACTCTTGAAACGAACCAAATGGGAATAAACTTTTTTTTTATATATCGCTCATTATATATTTTTTCTTTGATTATTGTTATTTTGTGTGATTATGTTTGTGTGTTTAAGTAAGCACCAAAGCTAGGCACATAATACCCAACATCATTCATCTGATGTTAAGTGATACCGCCCATGGATACTCATGGCTCCAGAAGCCTCGAAAGTGCGTTGCCGGCCTTTAGGGAATTGGTTAGCTCTTTTCTTGATGAACTCTAGAAAACTCTAAAAAAAAAGAAATTTCGCCACTATTGCTCTTGTCTACCTGAAGGTTTTAGACCTTATCAGTAGTTAGAAAATAATGTAATTATTATGTGATAGTGTCATGTAATACCTAATTTAAAATTCTTCGAAATAAGACAAATTTGCATGCCATTGTAACTGTACCGCCAAATTGTACCACCTATGTACACCATAATCTTGCTGATAAAGAATTATTATTAAATCATTTACAGGTCTATAAAAGTAAAAGCGCCACTGCTGCTATTTAAATATTTAAAAAAATCAGTGGCGCTACAACCTCTTGAGGTCTTGGCCTCAGATTTCTGAATCAGTTTCATGATTATTTTTTAATCTAATAGGCAAGTAGGTGATCAGCCTCCAGTGCCTGACACACGCTGTCGACTTTTTGGGTCTAAGACATGTCGGTTTCCTCACAATGTTTTCCACCGTTCGAGCAAATGTTAAATGCGCATATAAAAAGAAAGTCCATTGGTGCACAGCCGGGGATCGAACCTACGACCTCAGGTATGAGAGTCGCCCGCTGAAGCCACTAGGCCAACACTGCTCTATTTAAATATAAACAATATAATAAACTTCCACAAAATATAAAAAGTGCAGACAGCCTGGCAATATTTCAATTAAGACTAAAAGACCATCTCTGGAGTGATCCCAGTTCTTTACGTAAATAAAAGTCCACCTAAGTTCTACTTCGCTAATTCATCCTTAAAGCTCTTCAATGACCCACGACGTGATGTATAATATTTAGGATATAAGTTCTCATGTAAGTCACTATTGTCTGTTATGAGAATAAAATATGTCTTTAAAAAAACTTGGCGATTAAAAAGAGTGGCGGAGAGTTAATTGCCAGCTGTTCTTCTCTTCCGTTCTACGCCCTTGATTTGAGAACTGGCAGTAAATGTAAAATTAGAAGCATTTAATGTATATTTTTTTTGACGTTCATAAGTGCAGTTTACCTACATGCATAAATGATTTTTGACTATTGACTAAACCTAAATTTCGTGCAAAATTTCTTCTGTTAATTCGGGGCGCCCTGTTAGCAGCCCCGCGGTAGACAATGCGTGCCGTCCAAGATTTTTATCTCAAACTTAGATACCTCGCTAAGGGTTTGCGTGTCGCCATGCAATTATTCTATTTATTTTATATTTAAAGCCATTTCTAGAATATCTATTTATGGTTGTGTTCAATTCAATTAGGTAGTTTGATAACACTTTGATAGACTTATCTGTCAAGATATTAGTTTTATTATTAGCCGTCTAGTAATGTAAGTGTTCAGGGGTAGTATGACTTAACATCAATTGATTATTGAACCTTCTGTCAATTTGCCCTGTACTAAAAAAATTACATAAGTAGGCAATCAGAAATATTTTTCTTTCAAATGATTATCTATAAAGAAAAAGTACCAGACGAAGAACTTTACTAATCAAAGTTTTACAATAATTTGTAAGCTAAAAAAAAATGGTGCGTGTACTTATGTACGCGCGTAAGAAGTTATACTTCTTTGGCTTTCTTTATTTTGTTTAAATATTAAATAATTAATAATAAATTTTTAGCGTTAATAATTTAACAATATTTAATATTTAGTATATTATTCAATTATTAATTAATATTAATAATAATTATTATTTATTATTTTATTATATTATTAGTTAAATTTAATAACTAGGTAGGATTCATAACCTTTTAACTAAGTAACAATAGGTCTTTGTGAAAAAGCATTGCTAAGTTTCTTTGAAAAAATAATTAAAACTCCTTTATTTGTTTAAAAGGTACTACAAATGTCATTATGGTCATTCAAAATTCTTGGCATAGCTGCTAACGTCACGCATATTCTATTTCTTTTTACTTGTAGATTGTCTTATTCCCATCTCGCTCGCGCACGCTCGGCGCCCATACTGATAATTTTGTGTCACGGTGCGCGCGCATCGTAAAATTTCACTCTCATACATTTTTCACAACGCGCCTAAAGAAGTATAACTTCAAAAAAATCAGTCATCATGATCATTTGTCAATCTAATAGGCAAGTAGGTGGTCAGCCTCCTGTGGATGATACGCCGTCGTTGTTGGATAAAGCCGGTTTCCTTACGATGCTTTCCTTCACAGTTTGAGCGAATGTTAAATGCGCATATTGAAAGAAAGTCCATTGGTGCAAAGCCGGGGATAGAACGTACGACCTCAGGGATGAGAGTCGCACGCTGAAGCCACTGGGCCAACACTGCTCTATATTATTAGCTTAGTATTACGAAAATAAAAGATTTTTGTCTGGTTTTGAATCCCAGGTAGTAAAAACACTGGTTGCTTTTTTTATCATGATATGATTTTAGTACTATTACATCGTAAATGAAATTGTTATAATAATCTGTTTATTAATTGAACTCTCTTTTCCAGCTGTATTCTGGTGTGAAGGCGCAAGAGACGCGTCATGTCCGCGAATTTGTGGTCCAGCACTTCAGGGTGAACCGGTTTGTGCGACCGACGGATACATATACCCATCGTTATGTGAGATGAGGAAGAAGACTTGTGGAAAAGGTCAGTCAAAATTATCGATTATTACGTTAAGCAACAGTTGTGATGGACAGAATTGTGATGGGTCAAAAAGGTACTTCTTTATTCCTTCCAATGCATCTGTACAAGATATCCCTGTCTTTTACTAGATACTTGATAAATGAGATAAATTAATAACAGTTGTGATGGCCATCATTGTGATGGGTCAAACTACCTAATGCAAAATAGTTAATTTAACTATGTTCATGGTTAATATCTTTTTTATTTATTACTGTTCTTATGTTTTCGGTTTCATATATTTTGTTTATCAATTTTTATTGTCAGTTTTTTTTATAATATGTATATGTGTAGTTTTAGAATTACTTATACGTAAATGCTGTATTTACAAAAATAATCGAAAAAAAAAAACGATCATTAAGGTTAAGCAATAGTTGTAATGCCCAGAATATTGATGGGTATTCTAGGTTATTCCTTATTCCTTCGAATGCATTTGTATATATCTGTCTGTATAGATACTTCACCAAGGAGATAAATTAACTACAGAAAGTTTTGATTGCTTTAACAGAATATAAATCATAAACTAGTTTCGCGGGACAAATGGTTTGAATGTACACTCCCACATGTATTTAGACTTTGTTAATGCATTCCAGTAACATAATTTATAGCTTAGAAATAGAATAAATTGTACTAAGACTATGTTATGACAGGAATGAATGAAACCATAAAATGGCGAGAGCGATGTTTATTAGTTAAGTTTGAGAGATTTGTTATCTGTACGTGCGCGATCAGATTCTAAGATATAAGATGGGCTGAAAAGTTCGTAGGCTGACACATAGATGGCGCTATTAGTAAATTAATATTTGGTAAATTTGTTGAATCACACCTTATAACAGCTCCAATTTTTTTCTACATATTTTCATCACTCGGTAATGGTTTACTATAATGTGGTGGCGCATGCTCTTTAACCCCATATAAATTAATTAAAATCATGATTTATGAAATGAAAGATGGTACAAATTTCTGTCTTATCCTAATGTAATTCCTAATATTTTAATTTAGCCCTTACTTTACTAGACACGTGTAAATATTTGACAACTGTAGTACTATTAGTTAGTGAGATAAAGTATTTTGAGTAAAGGAAATTTTGTTTGTTTAAAATATTGATACATATTAGACACAATTAAAATAAGGACAACGGTCGGCCTTATTGCTTTCAAACGGTGTCTTTCACTAAGAAAACAATTTAATAAATTGCAAAACAACATTATATAAAATTACTAAGACATAAAGAATGGAATAAAACAAAATGTAGACAGTGAAAAATGACACATGAATCACGATATTTTTTTTGCCAAAACTACCAGGAATATGCCACTTATTGTTACTTATTGCCGCTTATGTATACTCATATTTATTAATAGTTTTAATTATTATCATTGAGTTGTTATAATAACAATATATTGTGTCGTTCAAAATAGATAAAGACATCCAGAATTCTCTTTGCTTCTTCCATCTTGCAATAGATTATTAGAAATTTATATTATGTTGTTAACCCATCGCTTGTCCGGTCTTCCCACATTTCATCATGCTTACAAATATGCTACTATTATTTCAATATTTCAACAAATTACAAGTCCAAGTTTTTAATAATACAGACAGAAAATTTATTTATTTTTTAGTTTTATGGTTTTCGTGTATAATGTAATACATTTTATTCTATTTACGCTCGTTACACGGAAATGCTTCAAAAACTTTGTATATTCGAGTTTATTGCTGAAGAAATGATTTAATAGCTTCATATTTAAACAATGAATTCCAGGAGTAAGACTAGCTCCAGATCAAGGCTCCTGTTCGAGAGCCCAAGGGTCTAAATGCGAACACCGCTGCACTTCAGAAAGAGATCCTGTGTGTGGAACTAATGGTCGCACGTACCTGAACAGATGTATGCTGCAAGTAGAAATTTGCAGGTATTTATTTCTCAACACTAGATGGCGTTTAAACAATGATAATGGGCAATTGTTCGTTACCCATACAAAACCCTATTTTTTTATACGGAAACATTACCTAAATGTACCCTCCAAAATTGGCGCATATATGATCAACTATCTGGTTGTATATCTTAATATATTTTCTTTATTCTTGCCTATAAATAAATTATTAAGGAAACAGAACACAATTATTTATATTGTTTTTTAGTTCTTATACCTATACTGTATGTAACTGTAAGTAATGATTTTTGATAGTTAATTTATAACTACATTTATTTGTAATGCGAGAACATTTATATGTTTATGATACAAAGAAGAGAGATTTGTATGTTTGTAGTAAAATCAAAAACATTTGGACTGATTTAAAAATATTTTCCCTCAAAAAAGCTGCATTAAAAAAACAATGGCGCTAGAACCTTTTTTTAGGTATATGTTACTGTTTCATGATCATTTGTCAACGTAATAGGCAAGTAGGTGATTAGCCTCCTGTGCCTGACACACGCCGTCGACTTTGATTTTCTTACAAAAAGTTAATACGTTTATGTATTATTATTTGAGTGCTATGCTTACTTTTGCTGACAAGAGGAGGGGGGATAAATTTCCGTAAATCTGATTACGTAACACTTGAACGGCCCCCATCGAGCGAGTACTAAAGGCGCACATAGTAAACTATTGCTGCACCGGAGTTTGAACCTATCTATATATATGTATCTTTCAGAGTTGGCATCGGTCTCTCTCATTTGGGTGCATGCAACAATATAAGTGCACACCGTGAAAACTGCCCCGTCGATTGTTCCCAAGCCCCACTCGATGGTCCCATTTGCGGATCAGATGGGAACGTCTACAAGAATACATGCCAGATGAAGCTGTTCACTTGTGGGTAAGTTGGCTGACGTCAAACGTAGGTTTGGAGACGAGAGACAATGAGTCATAAGTCAAAAATGTTTAGGATTTTGGTAAGGTCATGGCTAATTCATTTTTTTTGTCTCCCAAAAAAATCTGTATAAAAAGTATTTTACTGGTCCGTCCCCTGGAGCCATATTAATTGTCCAGGGGACAAACGGATTAATATGATAAGTGACACCGCTGACTCAGATACGCCCGACACCAATAATCAATCCACAATCTCAGATTGAAAACAATCTGACATCAGACCGTAACAGTCGATCGATCTTCTATCTGCATCCCAATAACTAAACCCTACGAAAACTATCCATTTTTGGCGACGGATAAATTGCTCTTTGTTGTTCCATTTTACCGAGTTTTCACTCATATTTGATAATCAATGTAAACCAAATAAAGTAAACAAAACCTTACAAATAACATTAAAATATACATGTGTATGTTTAAAACATAACAAACTGTTTTTTTTAATTATTTAAAAAACTGGTGTTAGTTAAAATCTGTTAAAATAATTAAGTGTTGAAATCGAGCTTTCGTCAACTCTCATTTTCGTACAAAGGTCTATCCACAGACACCGATACGACCTCCAATGGATAGCTTGTATCGACAGATGGCTATTACAATCCGTCGATTGGTTATTGGAACACATATTACAACATTTGGATTAAGATTACTGTCTCAGATGACGGATTATGGATTGATAGGTTATTGGGTTCAGGCGATAGCCAGAGAGACGCACGTGCGTTGTGTTTTAACTTGATTGGTACACTCTTCAAGAGGACACTAAGTCAAAACTATCTGAAGACCCAAATCTTTCTTGTTCACCCTCGCTATCATCCCAGTCCGATAACTGAGCTAGAATCTCGAGGTCACTATTACTTGAAAATAGATCCATTTTTAATGGTTTTTAACAACACGTATATATTATGACATAACAAAACAGCACCGCAACAATCGTGAATCGGTCAAAGTGTGAAGATCGCAAGTTCAGATTGAGAAATGTCAAAACTCGATCTGCCGAATTTAAAGATATTATAGAAAGCGTCGATCTGTCATTTTCATACAAATCAATCCAAAAATAGCGATCCTCCCAAAGATGATTTACAAAAACAGATTGACTATCGATCCATGGATCGGTTATTGAAAAGTAGTTTATCGTCGCTGTAGAATGATAACCTCGTATGTGCAGAGAACCAAACATTACAGGAAACGTAAAAAAAAATTCATTTCGTCAATGTTCGTTAAAATATCATTAAGTAAGTGTTTTTATCCATAGTTTTAGATGGTAAAAAGGACTTTATTAATAACACAAATAAGTCCTTAATGATTATACCAGTTAAATGAAATAAAGGTCTAAGTTTTCGGGGTTGGGATAAATAATAAAGATAATTAAAGGGATAATTTAAAGAGCAATGGACTAAACTAGTGGGGTGAAATGAGATTTAGATAAGTGTCGCGCCCGGTACGATGTCTGCATGCGAACTAACTTAAGTGAATATAATAAAATATAACGAAAATGAATACACTAGCAAATCGTTTCGCATGGTGTCATTAACATTGCAAATACCCGAACGGTTGTACACTGTACACTAAGAATAAAAAATAAATGGTTTTTTCACATACGAGGTTATAATTCTACAGTGACATAACAAATGGAGTGTAATATCAATCTCTACTTGTAAAAACTGAATTGGGTTTTAATATAGAAAGGCCGTTTCAAATTGGTTCGGAAATACTCCACAACTTCAACTTAAGGAAAACTGATGATTATCTACAGGCAAGGTGTTGTTCGGACTAATAAGAAGCATTGTCAAACGACGCGCCATTGCCGTGAGTCCTGTTGGCGAGTTGCCAGACCCACCTGCGGGTCGGACGGCGTATTGTATGCCAACGCGTGCAGAATGAAGGCGACGAACTGTGGGTGAGTAAATTCAAGCTCAAAATACTTTCGAAAATCCTTCCACGTAATCATTACGTTATACGAAGGTCAACGCTTCATTGCATTTAAGACATAAGACATAAGATTTATTACTAACAAAAACACAACCACACATAAACACACAAAATAACAATAATCAAAGAAAAAAATAAAATAAAAAATATAATGACAGATATAACATTTTTTCCCCTATCCCATTCGGTTCGTTTCAAGTGTGTAATGCGTGTGTGCTGTGGTTGTAATTGGCCCTGGCTCAGCATCATGTTGAGGAGCAGCAACTAGTTAAAGGGCCTCTTTATTTGTAATAAAATATTTGTGTAAAAATATTATTTTCTTTATTGCCGACGTACGCTCTTTTCTTGAGTCGAAATGGTTCGGAAATACTTCAGTGGGCTGGTTCTACATATAGAGCGCGGCAAGAACTGCCTTAAAAACGCTCAGTTGTGGAACGACGGACGTCGAGGATAATGAAACTCAGCTGCAGGTTAATAATACGAAAAACTCTTAGTATAAGATGAACAGAGACCCCACATCTCTTGCATCTTGCATACAAAAACATTGGAATATTGCTCTATTGGAGTACGGGCGCTGATCTCTGTATTCCAAATGCTTTGTATTTTCCAAAACATTCTAGTTTCACCATAACTACCTACTCACTCAAATCTTTACGATTTTCAGTAAGCACGTGTTCGAAGTGCCCATGGCGTTCTGTGTGTCCCAAGAGCGGACCTCTGGCGGCGAATACTGTCCCACCGACTGCTCCGATCAGAAAGAGAAGCTGGTGTGTGGCTCCGACGAGAGTATCTACAGGAATGAGTGTGAGATGAAGATGCTTAATTGTGGGTATGTACCCTTTGATAAGTCATGTAAAGTCATTTCATTGTACACGTATTATCACGGTGCTCCTGATCCGTAGAACATTTTAGGTGTGAGCCTCAGACTTTTGTGTTCATGATCATTTGTCTAATAGACAAGTAGGTGATCAGCCTCCTGTGCCTGACTCATGTCGACTTTATAGGTCGGTTTCTTCACGAAGTTTTCCTTCACCGTTCTTCTTCAAATTTAAGAGCCGGGCTCTGACATACCAGGAAGTCAGTGTTTTGACCTCCTGGTATGTCACGACCTCAGCTTTTTCCTTGATCTGGTCTTAAGCTATTCTCGGCCTCGTCCTCTCCTGCCTTCTATCTTCCCCTCCAAGATGGTCTTGAAGAAATAGTCGTGTCGCACCAGGTGTCCTATCATCCTTCACCGTTCAGCGAATGTTAAATGCGCACATAGAAAGTCCGTTGGAGCACAGCCGGGGATCGAACCGCAGGGATGAGAGTCGCACACTGAAGCCACTAGACCAACACTGGTCTTATCTTACTGTTATTTTAGTAAATTTTCAGAGCACTTAGGTCTTGGTTTGATTTATAAAATCAGTACTTTAATTTAAGAAAATCGAAAGTCTTCCACTATCTTTAGGCTATTTATTGATAAATAATTGGTTTATATTATAGTATTATAAAATTCATTTCCATTCTAGCGTGAACAGCAGAAAAATAATAAAGAAGGTGGACATGGAGAAATGCAAGTCGAAGATGAGCAAGTGTCTCAAAGTGAAGTGCCCGAGCGAAGGTGACCCAGTTTGCGGAACTGATGCGAACGTGTACTACAACCCTTGTCAACTGAAAGTCGCTACTTGCCTGTGAGTAACTTTAATTGATCATATATCAGTATGTATATATATATATATATATATATATATATATAATCTATAAAATCCTCACTGGCCACTATAATGCTCCAGGAATTGAGAAGCTCTTTATTTTAAGTGAAAATACACATTTGACAGGTAGTTCTTTAAAACTTAAGACCACTCAACATAACACAAATTCCCTAAAGAACTTTCTCCCAAACCGAGTAGTGGCCGACTGGAATAGGCTTCCGGAAAGTGTAATCAGTGCACCATCTTTGAACTCCTTTAAAAATAGATTGGATAGTTTCTCCAACTCTCAAAATACGCACGCCTCTTATTAAGCTGCTAGTGTGTTTATCTACATAATAATAATAATAATCAGAGATTTAAACATATAAATTTATGGGGACACAAGAACTTTTAACAAGGCGCTTACTAACATTACAGTTACCGCTGGAGCTCCTAAAAGAGACTCGGAATAAGTGGGATATAAAAACCATCCTTAATGTGGATATATCAGAGATTTAAAGTTGGAGCTTCAAATTGGACCAATAAAGACGCTTTCTCAAAAACTTCTGAAAGTTTTCTGGTCCTCAAGATAGATGTAAACTAAAGCTTACATATTATTTTTAACCATTCTTGAGACATTGGTATTGCATATACTAGCAAGTAGTCTCTCATTTCTCGTCTAAACTTATATATAACTACTTTATATACAATAAATCTAATATATACAATTCTCGTGTCACAATGTTCGTTCCCATACTCCTCCGAAACGGCTCGACGAACGCACGAATTTTGTTTTTGTTTTTATTAACATACAAAAACTCATACAATCCCTAATTTTCATCCCTCTACGATCAACCCTTATTTTTTATTTGTTAATTATGATTTGAACTGTGAGGTTTAGGTATATAGAGAAAAATTCACAGAACAACCTAAAAAGTTATTGTTCTGGAAAACCGAACAGTACCTGGGGTAGCATAGCAAAATGATCCATGTTGGTATGTACTAAAAAGGTAGGCTGAGTAAAATCACATTAAGGAGAAACCAAGTACGCGGGGGCAGCTAGTATACTATAATATATTAACAACTATGATATTTTCAGGAAAGGAGTCCAGTTAGCACACTTCGGCAACTGCACTCTGCTGCCGCGGCTTGAGACTGACTGTCCAGAAAATTGTGACAACGTTGTCGAACAACCTGTTTGTGGATCAGATGGAAATGTTTACAAGTAGGTTCCCTAACTCTGTAATAATAAATATTAATTAAAATTGCCACTATATACAGTCTACTAGAACGTTAACGTCACTTTTTTTTTAATATATCGTGTCACAGGTCACAATGTGAGCTCCGCCGTCTCACGTGTGGACAACACGTGGTCGCCGTTTCGGCGTCTCATTGCCGCACCACAGCACTTTGCCACGAAGACTGCCCAGATACACCCTCCTTCGTCTGCGGATCCGACAACCGGTTTTATAAGAACGAGTGTATTATGAAGAAGGAGAATTGTGGGTAAGGGAACAATTCTTTCCTTGTTAAAACTTGGATCTAAGTTACCTTTTTCGTTGCCAAGTGTTATTTACCGATGGCAATAAATACGGTATTATCTTAAGATGCCTTATAACACCGACAATATCTGGCCTTGTCTTTATACTTAAAATACAGTTCGTAAACCATATACACATAACATCTATAAAATAATAAAATAAAAAAAGAATTAATTGATTTAATTTTGAAAATAAATTTGATATAGAAGGAGCGGAACAACGAGCTAGTCCGTTTTCATACATTTGGGCGATTTATCCAAAGTTTAAAGATGCTCATAAGTACGTGCGACAAACCAAAAACAATAAAAATCCAACCGTTCTGGAGTTATAAGTGTTCCACCCGACTTATATATTGAGATGAGTAGGTACATCTCTTGCTTATCGAGTCTTGCGAAGTCAACTAAGTCAAGGGAGAGTTGTTTTTTTTAAATTTAGAGTTGGTAAATACAAAAGAGTATATTAGGTAAAATAATGATTTAGTTATTTAAATTTTAATATCCTAAGCTAAATCCTGACCTTCACACCATCACACAACACACCAAAATTAGGTATAAGTTAATTAAAGGTAATGATTTTATTGATTTGATTTCGATATTTCCAGGAAACACGTTTATGTCGTGCCATTGAAGCGTTGCCTCTCTCGATTCAAATACGCGGGCTGCGCACGCGTCTGCCCACCGGAATACGACCCTGTATGTGGGACTGATAACAAGACTTACTCCAACAAATGCTTCTTGGAGATGGAGAACTGCCGATCAAGGTATGTTCTTTTGTACATCAAATACCCGTGTCAACGGTGATGGCGTCATAGTCGTAGAATAGTGACGGATCTGACAAATATTAAACTTTACAGGGCAGCCATTTCAAGATAATATAATCATGTTAGTTTTTGTCATAACTATTTTAATTCATATTTGTTATGAAAATTGGCATACAAGCGAACAAAAGAGTTTGTTTTGAAATAAAATAAAAATAATAACATTAAATTACACAGTTTTCTAGAAAAATCACATGTTTCTATCAAATCCGTCACTTTACTGCAGTCAATGTAGCCGTTTTTAGTCAATGTAGTATCCAAATATTAAGTGGATTTTGGATTTTTTTCAACTCCGAAATTGTTCTACGGTCATGACGATAGGGTGATTATATGGCTTGGTTGTGGTTCAATGGTAGCGGTGTTGGCCTAGTGGCTCGGGCGTGCGACTCTTATCCATAAGGTCGTAGGTTCGATCCCCGGCTGCACAAATATACTTTTTATGAGCGCATTTAACATTCGCTCGAACGGTGAAGGAAAACATCGTAAGGAAACCTTAGGCTTGGTTAGACCGACTGTAAAAAGTCGACATGAGTGGAGAGATTGACAAATGATCGTGAGACAGATACAGAAATCTGAGGCCCAGACCTAAAATTTATTTAATTTCTTTTCAGGAGTTTCATGCAGCTAAAACATTTAGGAACGTGCACAGAGCCAATCGCAGAGGAGCCGAAAAACTATTTGTATCGATAATTCATAATCGCTTATGGTAACACCATTTTCAATTAGTGCCAATTCTTTTAGGAATGATTTTTATGCTATAGATTAGGTATTTGCATCTGGAAACTTTTTTTCATATTTCAAACTATTTTCGTGGAAAAAATTTAATTGAAATAACTCGACTGGGAAAATTTGGGAATCGAACATTAAAAAATATAGCCACATAATGAAACTCTCACATTTTTAGTATCGGTTAAAAAGCTTTCGAACACTAAGAATAAAGTATAAATTAACAAAAAAAATAAACAATTTCTAGGTTAAATTTATAACGTTCTTTTAAGCGTGAACTCCATCGTGTTTGTTATCGAAACGATAACGTTTCTGTTCGGATTGTATTATGATGCACTGTTTAGAACATATCTTGTGTCAATGTTACATGAACATTACAAATAAATATGACATGTCTCTCTATCTGTTAATTATATTTGACAAATAGAGAGAGATATAGCATGCCAGTCACTTCATATTCATCGTCTTCCATTCGTCTTTATTGTTAAGTACAAAATTATAATCTCTCTGTTATTCTCTACGTAAGTTCTAAGTAGTTAGCTTATTCAAGTATCGTCGCATATTTCATAGGTTATCTAGAAAACTTGAGCCCTACAGCCCATTTCTATAAGCTTTTTCGACATAATTAAAGCTTAAAGAAACTCAAGGTTTTTTTGGAAATAATTGATTAAGCGCGCCGTTGGCATTTAGATTAAGATTTCTGACTGTTTATTTATTGTTCTTATTTATTACGTAATTTGTAAATACTTTTAGGATTAAATATATATCAGACAACATAACTGCTTGTTTGATTAATCGATTTGTCTGGTGTTCCGTTATAAATAACGAATGGCATGGGTTTCAATTGAGACCAAATACGGTTCGTTATTTACAACCAAATCTGCACAGTTGCATTTAATAAACGCATGTTTCTATGTATAACTTTAGCAAATTCTAATAGTTTTAGTCTGTGTACCGATGTTTTATAGACAAATAAAATGTTAAAATAAATGGCTTTTTTACTTTAACCTGAATTGTACAGGAAGATTGATGTGATCCAGTCAGAAAATTAGCTAACTCGGTAACAGTGGACTTCAGGAACCGTTATCGTAAAGGGTGCGCACACGCACTAGCCTTTACTTGTAATATATTTATTGATTCATTTATTCAAGATTCCCATATACATAATACTATATCTACGTTATATGCTACAGACTCTTTTATCTAAAATGTTATAGATATAATATATAAAGTGTTATACTTTAGGTAAACATAAATTTTACAAAAAAGAAATAATGAATTAAATTAAAATACATAAACCTATGTCTACAAGAGAAAATAAAATACCAGAAATATTTGTTAAGTAGAAATAAAAATTACCAACATAACTGCGGATTAGGTACGAGATAGGTACTTAACAATGCTTTTTTTTAAATGGATCAGCCCACTGTCAAATATATCCAGCTACAGATAAGTACTGTAAAATCCGTTATTAATTCAATTATAATTAATTATTTTATAATAAACCCATGAGCACAATTAGTATTAGTAAATCACTTTAATTTTATTCAAAAACCATTTGTTTCTAATAAGAAGCTCTATTGGATATCCGTAAGGCTGGAAGGATGTCGACATCTCATCCACCAAGACTTTGAAGTTATTCGTGAATTCTTCCAGTGTTGTAATATTTAGTGCGTCATGCCAAATCAGAATTCCACCTGAAAACAATATTTATAATAGCAGTGCTAAACAAATTCCAATAATAAAGCCATTGGCGCTTCAACCTGCCTGGGCCTCAAATTTCTATATCTGTTTGTGATCTGTTCATAGGCAAGTAGGTGATCAGCCTTCTGTGCCACACGCCGCCGACTAAAGTCTAAACAAAGCAGGTCGGTTTCCTTATGATGTTCACCGTACGAGTGAATTTAATCTTACAGATATACATCCACATATTATATAAGAAACGTTTAGAAAATAATAATCCAAAACAGATTACATTGATAAACAAAATATAAGTTAAATGCGCATATAGACAAAAAGTCCATTGGTGCACAGCCGGGGACCGAACCGTGGACTAAGCAAACACTGCTCGTGTAAAAGGATTAATTAAGTTAACAATTTGTAGAATTTGATACTGCCTCTACAATAATTGCAAGACGACGCCGCCAAAATATGTCAGTTTAACTTATTCTAATCATAGATGACGCTCAAATAATTTTTTTTATAAAATATATTTATAACAATATTAATAATTTTGTTATTATTTAATAATAGATAACGTTTTAATGACGTCGTAATTCTTAATAATTTCTACAATCATACGATATTTGTTATGTTATGAGAAAAATCCTTTTTTGTTTAAAACGCCATCTATGCATACTATAACGTAACTTGATATATTGGCGTTGTTTCAAACTATTGCAGAACAAAACAAGATGGGCGAATTTTGCTATTAAGTTGGTTTCATTATTAAGAGTTACAGAGAAGGCACTGTACTGAGTAACTTAATTTTTTTATTGAACAGTGGGCAAACAGGCAGGACGTTGATGTTAAGTGATACAGCCGCCCATGGACACTCAATGACGCTGAATTTGCTGGCCTTTTAAGAACTGGTACACTCAATGAATCTCAGCTGGAGGTATTAATTCGAACAACTCTGGACACTATGGTAAATGCGATAGAAGAACGCCAAGGGATCACGACCACCAAATCAAACTCACCTACAATAGTTATGTATGCTAATAGCCACGTCCAAATCATACAGTTGTATCGTAGTTACCAGAGTGTACCTGACAATATAATATATAGAAAGTTAGTAGGTTGGTCTAATGGTGCGGTGTTCTAGAATTCATCTCATAAACCTCATGAAGCTGAACATTGTGTGGATGTTAACAGCGAACTAAGTTTGTTTGGAAAAAAAAAGCGCCGTCCATAGACAGCCAGAGGGCTCGCAAGTGTGGTGCCTATTAAGAATTGGTACGCTCTTTTCTTGAAGGGCCCTTAGTTGAATTCGTTCAGAAACACTTCAGTGGGCAGCTGGTTCCACATAGTGGTTTTGCGGGAAAAACTGCACGGACGTCGAGGTGATACGGGTGGAATTTCGTATTCTGCCTCGACGTCCGCTGATGGAACTGTTATCGCTAAGCCATTGTAAAGTATTTTCTAGTAGTCTTTGTAAGTCCTTGATTATGTTTGTATGTATTTTCAAAAATTTCCCAAGTGTCTACACTACACTACTCGCTAATACAATTTCAGCAGTCATTACGACTTCCTCTTCCTTCTTGTAAATGAATTGTATTTAACGTAGTGAGATCAGCCTATAAACTAGAAGATTATAGAAGAGTATATATGCTTAATAATTTTTAAGAACAGCTTGGTGAATTGACCTATGCTTAGAAATTGAGATGACGACGGAAGAAGACAACAAAGGATTAAAATTCGCTAAGGAGTATTATACCGTATAAATAAGAATTAAAAATATATATTTGAGAGCTGTGATTGTGAGCTATTATAAGAGTTAATATTACCTTTTACGTGTTAACTAATTTAAATATAATTATTACTCTTAATTTTCTTCAATTTTGATTAGCTAGAAAATACGGAAATAACGTCAAATTCATGACATTTCTAAACTGTCAAGTTTGGCAATTCATTTCAGCTATAGATAATGATAATATCTGCTTCATCATCTATACTCAATCCTTTAATTCCAGAACTCCCTCTTGTCTTAAAAATGAATTTAAATTCTTTGGTTCTTGTAACTATATATTACGCTCCTCTGATATTTGCATTGTGTAAAATCCTTCCCGCAGCTCATCAGTTTTAACTTATTCAGTATCGCCATAAAGTTCTGGAATACTCCTTGATCCCATACACTTGGCTACCTTAAGGTCTTTTAGGTCTTCTTCATAACCATACACATCCTTCTTTTAATCGTAAACTGCCATGGATAATGCTTTTAGGATGCTGTTGGGACTGCCACGCCTTTTCAGTACCTCGGGCATGTTTACCCAGGCTGATACTGGTGACTTCTGGACGTTGGAAAAAAACGGCATCACTTTTATAAAGAATATAAGTGATGAACTATTCTCATCTCTGTGGTCGTAGGTTTGAACTGCGGCTGTACACATATTGAATTATGTTTAGTACTTTTCTTGAAGGACCCTAAGTCGAATTGGTTCGGAAGTGCTTCAGTGGGCAGCTGGTTCCACATAGTGGTGGTACGCGGCAAACACTGCCTTAAAAACGCAGTTGTACATATAATATTAAAGTTAGGTTAGAAGACAGTGTAGGTTGTAAACAAACTGACAATAAGACAGAGTACTTTATTACTAAGTATGTTTTATTATAATAAAATTATATCTACTATGATTAAAAGGCTTGCTTTCATACACATGAGATTCATCATCAGACGTAACGCAGACAAAGAAATTCCACCCGTATCGCGAGCCCTCTGGCCTTGAGAGTGTCCATGGGCGGCGGTGTCACTTAACATCAGATGAGCCTCATGCCCGTTTGCCCCCGTTCTATTAAAAAAAAATATATTAGAAAACCGCTAATGTTTGTATAAATGAAATAATAGCAGTCTTGTGTAGGAGCGCAACAAATGCATATAGACTAGTTTTTCAATACTTTTTATGTTGGTTAACTTTAGGCTATCTAATATCTATACTGACTGAGTAGTAAAATTATTAGCCGCAGTAGCAAGTACTTCAACGTTCTCTCGCCATACAGGTACGTTGTTTCCTCTCGACGTACAGAGCTGAACTGAGCGTTCCCGCTCAGGTCTGAATGTTATTCTCAACTTGTTTTTTTATGTCATCTCGAAAATGAAATCTTAAGTAAACCAGGTATTAATATGTAATGATGTGTAAATATAAATAATACTCAAATTATAAACATTGTGTACGCGTTCGGAAAACTGACTGAAGTGTTGGCTGTTCACCGTAGATTGATCAATGGAGGTTATTTTATTTGTATCGTCTTAAGTTTTATTGGCATATTAATCCCAGTAATCACGCTAATTTTACTATAAAAAAAAGTAAATAAAACAAACTCTTTAACCAAAATTGGGCCCAATTTTAGTGTCTGCCAGCAATGATCTACAATGAAAGTTACAGCTTGCATGCAATGTTAAACAAAAATAAAAATAAATCAGTGGCGCTACAACCTTTTTAGCTCTGGGCCTCAGATTTCTGTATCTGTTTCATGATCATTTTTAAACTAATAGGCAAGTAAGTGATCAGCCTCCTATGCCTGACGCACGCTGTCGTCTTTTTCGTCGGCAAGCGGGTGTCCGATGTTTTCCTTCACCGTTCGAGCGAATGTTGAAATGCGCTCATAGAGAGTCCGTTTGTGCAGCCGGGGATCGAACATACGACTTCAGGGATGAAAGTGGCACGCTGAAGCCTCTAGGCCAGTACTGTTCAAACAAAAATGTTATTTAATATTAATAAATCATTATTATATATTTAAGGCAAGTCACGTGAGGTTGAGTTTCATAATTATATAAGTTCTCAATATTATCACCATTCAAATAATACTCAACAAATATGAAAGATTAGTTTATAAAACATTTAGTTACAAATATTCAGTCAACAATTGTCTGTTTAAATATTAATATTTATGTGTTAAACACCTATTCTATACTCCTGAAATGAATAAAAACTTTCAGTGAAGAAGTGAAAATGAAGTCAATGTTTAGCGAAGGAAGCCAGATCACGCAGTTGATATGCTGTCTCTTAAGTAAGTATTTTTATTTATTTATTAACACAGTTGCATACAGAAATATAATACAGTTGACATAATTAAATTAAATGAAGGGGAACTGGCGGTTTATCGCTTTCGAGCGATCTCTTTCAGGCAATCAATGTGAGAAAAAAATAGCTAAGGCTAGCGCAAGAAGTGCTAAAATACATATATAGAGCAAAACAAAGCAATTAACACATTTGTAAACAGCGAACAGGCGAAAAACAATATTTTATTTAAATTTATTTATTAAAGCCGTGCCAATAATGCCAAACAACAAAAACACAATAGAATAATTTTTAAATTTTGCAACAAATTTGTACCTTTAGGACGGCGGGCACAAACGTTAACAACATACGAATGTTCTACTGCAATGATTTAGGTCTACACAGACAAACATAATTATATGATCACAAAACAAAAGACCTCAAGTTACAAATTAAAAACAACCTCATTTTTTTTTCACAAAAAGTACAGAAACAAGTGACAGTTAGATATTATTATAAATAAGTAATTGTCTTTCTTCTATTTAGGGAAAATGCTAGTTTGTGTGAGACTGATGCCTGCTAAAGGTAAGAGTACCTGTGTTACAGGTCATCAGGCCTCCACCACTTCTGATCGAAAGAAGGTCTTAAAAAGTAGAGAAACAATTTAGTAAGAATAAACAATCATTATAACATAGGCTGCAACGTTAACAAAACGTTAACGGGTGTGCGTAAGTGTGTATATGTGTGCGGGTGTGTGCGGGTGTGTGTCTGTGTGTTAGTGTGGGTACGTGAGTGTGTGACGGTGTATGTATTATTACTTACAACTTTATACAACTTTATACTCAGCTATTTATTTACGGTAAGCATTTTTCAAATTACAAAACATAACGCAAAAACCTAACAGAGTCATAATATAATGCCTGTAATCGAATGGACGGTCCGAGAAAATATTAAGTTTGTTCGGGCCCTGCAGCCTATTGCACAGTCTAGCCATTCTATTTATTGGAGATATAAAATGAATCCGCTCGCTAGCTCTGGGAACGGAGATGCTGTATACAAGATAAGAAAATCCAGCATATTGTTACGCAGCTAAAAAAGAAACATAGCATCCAGCAGATCCCTGCGGCAAATAAAAACAAAATTTATGCTCATACTCATACTTAATCTTTCTTTATTCATATAGGTCAACGAGTACACTTATGAACGTCGTTTTTTCACTAATTGTAAATTTACATTTACTACCAGTTCGCAAGTCAAGGGCGTAGAGCGGGCAAGAAGAACTGGCAAGAAACTTTCCGCCACTCTTTTTAATCGTTAAGTTTTGAATCATACAATTTGTTTGAACTGGAGCAAATCAATCACAAGGATTAGGATCATTTAAGTATTAGTCAAATGTATAAAAAGCTTTATTGATTAATTTACGTTTAACGAGGGCTTTGAATTTATTTAGTGATAATTCTCTAATTTCGCTTGGGAGTTTGTTGTAAAAACAAATACAATTTCCATATAAGGAGAGGTTTATCTTCTGGAGCCTGGTTGGTCGTACACTCAAATTAGTATTAGTAAACTATTTGGCGTTTACTGGTGAAAGTCACCATTTGTTTGTTACATATTGTACAAACTCGGCACATTCGCACAACTGGTAGCTGCCAGGCTCGCGCGTACCGCTCTGTATCTTATGTTATAGCCGGGTTTGCATCCTGGAATATCAGCAGGTGCTCTTAGCAAAGTGTATTGGCGGAAGGCCGAAGCTTTGAAAAGAGGAGAAAAACCCCATAATGGAACTTGGAAACTTGTACTAGCCTCCGAAGACAAAGCTAAAACGGTGTAATTAGGCTGATTTTCGATTAATAAGAGGGTAGTTCGACGCGTAAATGTTATAGCTAATCATTTTCTATAATAAATCTTCTTGCAGCTCTAATACCAGTTTTCTCATATGGAGCTGCTGTCGGCTGGATGTCACCGATGACCTTACTTCTTCAATCAGAAAATTCCCCAAGAAGTGAACCTCTCACAGATTTAGAGGTAGGGTATTCCTTTCTTCTACGAAACCAGGCTAGCGCACTTTAAGATGTCATTGAAGAATCGTAGAAAATTAATTGATATATAGATTTCCAACCTTTTGACTTAATTAAAATTTCCTGTATCCTCTATATACCCGGGCATCCCATCATCTCGTTTGACCCTCCTTTCAGAAGATCGCGTCTTGTTCCAAACTCACCGATATCCAGATTGAGCATTTTGATAAACGAGCAAGGTCTCAATTGTGCTTGAGTTTTTATAATTTAATTTCTTTTTCTTTTCGTGTATGCTTGCCTATAAGCGCTTGTCACATTAAGGGTGGGTTGCATCAACAAATTTTGACGGACACGTAACCGTTAAATATGGCGCTAACGAACGTTAGACAAAAAAAGTGTTGATTCACTATCCATGACAGCTTACGTTCGTTAAAAAGTTACGCTTACGTTAACCAGTGCTTGAACCATTGGTAATCGTCAAATTTTGGTTTGTAACTTCGTAGTTCGTACTTCCTAAACTCTGTTTCCTCTGAATTTAATATTAGAGATGGTTTGATTAATAATTATTTTGCAAGGTATGTTAATACTACGATTATTTTTGACTTCAAAAAAATAAATTGCAAATTTAATATTAAAGATATATTTCAGATTATATCTTTTTATGGCATGGGTGTATGGGTGGTATGGTGAAGGACTAAGATATTATATACTGTTTATATTGCTTATTGCATGCCTTTGGTAAAGAAATAAAATATTTGTCAAAAATAATATGCCTTTACTAACTGAATTACAGCCTACAGATTTTATTAATTTAGACCAAAAGTTAACTTCATTGACAACAAACAGAAAACTAGTTTTCTCTTAATTTAATTTAATACTAATATGTGATATACATAGTTTAATTATTATTATTTTGCAAGGTATGTTAATATTTAGATTATTTTTAACTTCAAAGAAAACAAATCTCAAATTATAATTTTAAAGCTGTCTTATTTTCAGATTATAACTATTTTATGGTATAGATGTGAAATATGGTGAAGGATTAACATAATATATTGCTATTGCATGCTTTTGGTGGAGAAATAAAATGTTTGACAAAAATAATATGCCTTTTTATTACCGAATTAAAACATTACATAGTTATGCCTGCCTATGCACATAAGAATTAATTCATCTTAAAAATCTATTTTTTTACAGTTTTTATTATTTTTTACACTAATTTTATAACATTGATACACACAACTGCTTAATTATTTTGAAGAGCATTTTATACTAAGTTTCAAGTAATTCTAATCAAGTTATAGTAAGTTTATTTTTTATTGTAAAGGTAAATAAGTGCCACTTTTCATACATTTTACATTAGAAATGGCGCTTTCATACAATCTTACATCCTTTTAGTATAATTAATAGTAAGTAATTTTTTTTCTTGTAGTTTAAAAATGATTTCATCGTTCTTCCTCTTCTCATTTAGATGTTGAACACGCAACTCAAAAATTTTCTTTTTCATATTTATTATCTGAAAGGGCATTAAATTCTGCATGAATCGCACTCCATGCCCTCTTTTTTTGCAAATTGTTAGAAATGTCTGTCTTTTTATTAAATAAGATGTGTTTATGTTTTTCTATTAAATTTCTAAATCTGTCCTTCTCTTCTTTTCCAAAATTTACCGAACGTTCTCTGAAAGTCAATGAGTAACGTAAATAAATACACTTCTAACTATATCCTTCAATATAATATATATACTTGCATATACAATTCATGCAATATAATAATAAAATAATAGCTTTATACTTACTTTGGCGAAAAGGTTCCCATTATTTATATTAAAATTAAACACTTTTTAAAATTATCCTTTCGTACACAACAATAAACATTGATGTCAAACTTGACAGAATGTATCAAATGACATTGTTTTTATCAATGTTGTTATTACTAAAAATATTCCCATAAAACATTAGGTCAAAATAGCGTTACGCAAACAGGCAACCCCATTAACAATGACGAACTCATTTTTTAACAATGAAGCAACGCTAACAAGTTAACAGACGTTAAAGTTCATACGTGTCTGTCAAATTTTAACGAACGTAAGTTACGATAGCAAATGGTTTGAAACAACCCACCCTAAGTCTTGTATTTGATTTTTCTTACTCAGTGTGCAGAGCGTTGGCTAGCTTTTATAAATAAATCATTTTTTTTATAGAACAGGAAGCAAACGGGCAGGAGGTTCATCTGATCTTAAGTGATACCACCGCCCATGGACACTCTACGCCAGAGGGCTCGCGAGTGCGTTGCCTGCATTTTAAGAATTTGTACACGTTTTTCTTAAAGGACCCTAATATAAGTCGAATTGGTTCGGAAATACTTCAGTGGGCAGCTGGTTACACACATAGTGCATGACGTACACTACGCACGTCAAAAACTGCCTTAAAAACCACTCATTTGTGGAACGACGGACGTCGAGGTGATACGGGTGGAATTTCGTATTCTGCCTCGATGTACGATGATGGAAATTAGCTGCTTATTAATCAGAGCAACTTCTCTGATAGCTATGGATAGATAGGTAGATCAGTCTTTTTAGATTATAATAAAACATACTTAGTAATAAAGTAGGTACTCTGTCTTATTGTCAGTTTGTTTTACTAATGCAAGGTGAACAACCTACACTGTTTCTAACCTAACTTTAATATTTTATGTACAACTACGTTTTTAAAGCCCTTTTTGCCGCGCCCCACCACTATTTCGAACCAGCTGCCCGCTGAAATATTTCCGAACCAATTCGAATTAGGGTCCTTCAAGAAGAGAGCGTATCAATTCTTAAAAGGCAGCAGTATCACTTAACATCAGTTGATCCTCCTGTCCGTTTGCCCCCTGTACTATAAAAAAAAGATACCTAGTTCTTTTTATTTTAAAAAATGTTTCCAGACACGTACGACTTCTAAAATTTCACGCTTGCGTTACAATATATATTTATTAAGTAATTTACGGAGTAACAAAAAAGTTTATCTTTGGCATAACAAATAGTCTTTTGAAGGTTTTTCGGTATTATCAGTAAATAAGTTACTGTTAATTGGGTTTTTTGTAATTCCTTGTTAAGACTAAATTATTGTTTGATATCAAGTAATTTTCTTCAAATAAATGGGAAACATAATGATGCTATACTTCTACAATTAGTTATTACTAACGATAATTATTTATGTTAATTTTAAGCACACAAATATATTGTAATTACAATATTTAACCAACATAGTAATAATAATAATTAAAAATTGATATTTAGATAATTTAAACAACTTTAAAAAGTTGGTCCCTGTGGCATACCTTTAAAGCTGGCATTTCCAGCTGTATTGCGATACTTATTCGTTGAGCAAGGAAAGCACCAGCTCTGGGGTCACCTACCAGGCACCAGCTTAAACCTTTAATTAGCGCCTGTGCGCTGTCTTAGTTAAAAGCTTCCTTAAAAACTATAAAGGTGGATGGAGAAATTAATTGTTTGTGACTGGACTTCAGACCAATGATTACCTATCAAGTATAACCATTAATAATTTTCTTTCAGATATCATGGATGGCTTCTATTCCATATTTGATAACACTGCCTAGTGCTTGGTTGCTAGTAGTTATCGCTGATAAGATCGGACGAAAGTTTGCAATACTTCTAGTCTCACTAGCGGGTCTAGTAAGTATGTTTTTAAATGTTATTCTTAAAAGGCCGGCAACGCACTTGCGAGCCTTGTGTCCATGGGTGGCGTGTATTTCTTAATATGAGATGAGCCTCCTGCCCTCCTATTACATAAAAAAATTAAACTCTAAGTCAGCAATTGACACTCACTTGCAAGTCAGCGATAGTGTTCAGGGTGATATTCAGAAAAGATACTTAGCTCGAACTATGCTATAGCTTAGGTTTCCTAGAAAAGCGGTGCCGTAATGTAACGTTGGGTGACGTCACCCATGCGTTGTCTATACATAACATCGGAGTAGGTTTTCTAGAGAACGTTGAGTGTCACTGTAACGTCAAATAGTGGTGCTGTCATTTGCATGACAGCCGTCATAGCGGTGATAAACAGTAGTTCAACGTTTTTCGCGTGTAGCGGTGCCCATATTTAATTAATACAATGAGTGGAAACGTGACTTGGACGAGCGAAAATGATTGTTTTTTTTTGCATTATGTTAAAAAGTAAAGACGGCCGTTATTAACAACTGTAAAATGACGGCCGTTAGTTAACGGCACCGCTTTTCTAGGAAACCCAAGCTTAACAACCGTAAATTGACGGCCGTTCTTACTTACCATCAGAGTCAACGCTTAGCGCTAAGTAAGACTCCAGTGCCTTTAAAATTACATAATTGTTTCATATAATTTGACTGCAAAATGATTCAATGTTAGCCTTATATGCAGAATAATATAAAATTACAAACCAAACGAATAATCCAAGTACATATTAGTAGCTATAGGTACATATCAAACATGTTCAACAGTTCAATTAAATTCTACTGAATACACATTATTAGTATATTAGAATTAGTATTTGGTTTTGTTAGAAACGTGTGGAATCCTGATCAGGAAATTTGGTTTCCAATTGAAATTGCCCGAGGATTCCAACAAAATGAAGAAAGTTTTAAAAATTATAAAACTCCGAGTCCCAGTTCTCCTTTGTTATATATGGCCAATTGTTCTGTACGGCTGTGAAGCTTGGGACAATTAGAGAAGATTCCCGCCAGTGCTTAGAAGAATTTGAAACTCGGTGCTATCGTCGCATGCTTCGTATAAGCTGGATCCAGCAGGCTTTTAGACACTTTCGTTAGCGAGAAGGTTGTTAAACTTAATTATGAAGAACATTAAACAACGGAACGTTGCATACCTGGGCCACGTGTAGTGCCATGACCGCTACCAGCGGTACCAGGGTAAACGCGTGTTGGTAGAAAAAAGCAATCATGGCTTCGCAACGTTAGGGAGTGTTGCGACTGCAGAAGAGTTGCTGCATCTGGCACAGGACGAGACACGCTTTTAGAAACTGCTGGGCAACCTGCAGTAATGGACTTCTCCATTAAAAGAAGAGAAAAAGAAAAACACATTGTCTTTAAATGCGGTAGTTACGTAACTGGAAGTAATATTTACAGGGCACCTGGGCTATCCTTTTATCATCATTAGAGACATGGGCCCTTATCACAGCGAGAGCACTGGTTGGAATCAGCGCTTCCGGAAGCTATGTAGTTTTTCCGATATACATCAAAGAAATTGGTGAAGACAGTATTAGAGGAAGTCTTGGATGCTTGGTAAGTTGCTTTGTCTCTGTATAACTAAGCAAAAAATATTCGAAGTCATTGGAGATAAACATATGAAAGGAAACGATTGTGTTGAGTGATCAGTAATAAAAGTTATTTAAATTTTTTTTAAAGTCTCTTCGGTCTCTTCACGGTAGTGATTGTGGGGTGTGACAGAGAAAGAATGAAAGTAGAAATGAGAGCGTTGAAAAGTATGTGTGGTGTAACAGAGCAGTGTGGGTTAAAAGAAGAGTTAGTGACAAGGATAAGAAAAAGAATCCTTAGGTCTCTTGGCCATGAGAAGCTTACAAGTACAAGGCATCCATGGATGGTGAAGTCGGGTAGGCCTGGTCGTACATTGGACCAAATCTAGGAGGTACTAAAGAATGAAGTTGAATGTCATGAAAGTAAATGAAGCGTGAGAGGTATGTCAGGACCGTAGCAAGTGGAGATTTGTCGTCAAATCTTTATCCAAATTCACGGAATATATATGTCTACAGATAATCTGCAAAGACTAATGATTATGTAGTCTCGAAATTGAATTTGGAACCAATTAATAATTTCATTTAGATAAGTAAAGAGAAATATTGTTTATAAGAGCCACCTTCAATTAAGATATTTATTAAAGTTGCTGCCCCCGCAAACTTCGTTTCGCCTTAGTATGACTTTTTTACTAAGCCTAAGTTTTTAGTAGCTTCTGCATGTACATTTGGAAAATTTTGATATACCTACTACCCAATCGAGTTTGTCCGCTTTTATCTCAACATAAAATCCTTCTCCAGAGTTCAAGGAATACATCAAAATTTACTCGAATTATTCCAGCCGTCTTGGATTTTGCTCATAGCTAAATATTTTGCGATTAATGTTTCTTTATATAGACAGATATACATAGTTGTGATGTGCAAAAATATCTTAACAATAGACTTCTTAAAGCAGTGTAACCATACTTTAATTTGATAAAGAATTTAACATAAATTTGCTTTAAAATTATTTTCTTTCTTTGGCATAGATTGGCGTTTTCCATACTGGCGGAAATTTGTTCTTATACATCATTGGAGACATGTTAGATTACTATACAGTATTATGGATTTGCTTGTCACTCCCCATAACCCACCTCATACTATTAACCATGATGCCGGAAACACCATCATTCCTGTTGAAGAAAGGCGAAGATGAGGTATTTTTTCTCTTTTCTAACCAACTTCAGAAAATGTCACCTTGGCGGAGCGGGATGTGTTTTTAATATCTTGAAAATATTTAAGATAGTTTGCATTCACTTGATATATCGCTATCGACTAAACATAATTCTTTTCAGAAAGCTCTAAAAGCTTTAGCATGGCTTCGATGTAGATCAGAAGATGACGTGGAGGTGATAAAAGAGTTGGAGCATACTAGACGAGAGCAGGAAAATGATGCTCAGTCCAATAAGTTCCTGCTTAAAGAAATATGTAAGATCTATTTTATACAGAAGTTATATCCAAGTCTAAGTGAAATCTTGGCCTAGTGGCTTCAGCGTGCGACTCTCAACCCTGATGTCGGTCGATCCCCAGCTGTGCTCCAATAAACTTTCTTTCTATGTGTGCATTTAAATTTCCATGTGCGGCTTGGCTTGACTCAAAAAGCCCACTGCGTATGTCAAGCACAGTGATCACCTACTTGCTATTAGAATAACATGATGAAACAGATACAGAACTCTGAGGCCCAGACCTAAAAATGTTATAGCACCACTGGAACATTTTTTGAAGTGAAAACTTCTTTAGCGGCGCTGAGAACTTTTTGTATGGGTAAAAACTTTCAAACTTGCGTCAGGGTCACGTGATGCTGATCGAAAAAGCGTAAGATCGAGGGGAAGGGAGAGGAACTAGTATCTCCCACTCTTTCTACCGTGCCTGAGTGTGCTGCTCTGTTTAGGCGGCACAGGGCGCTTGCGCGAATGACCGTGTGTGTTTATGTACAGCGTCCCACGCGTATCCAAGGATGGTGACAGCTGATTGCTTGACTGTTGTGTAGTAAATACACTGTTGTGTATTCGTAAATGTGAATTGTTTAAATTATGGAAATCGAACAAAGTGAATCTATTAATGAAAAAAGTGATGATGAAGTAGTGAAAGCAAATGAGTACGGTCTTTATTAGACACTTAAATAGGTTCGAATCAAAACTGTTTGTTTCTTACTTCAGTTATCATAAACCAATTGTATCAGTTGTAAAAATTTGCGATGATGATTCTGATAATAACGATGGTGTAAAAGTCGTCGAAATTATGGATGGAAGTTGATTTTTCTGAGAGATAAAATTTAATGTAATATATAAATAACGATATAATATTATAAATAACAACATATAAATTGTCATATTTGTGTACGATAGCGCAATAAATAAACATTGTATTCTACCTCATAAATGATAGTACTTTTATACTTATAATTAAACACAACGTTAATATTGAAGTTTTCACTTCTGCCGGCACTCCCGGAGTGCTCCCGTTGTTTTTTATCCAAGGACGTGTTTGGAAACACGTCCATTACTTTTGATACTTTATATATTTGTAAATTTACAGCATACGTCGTTATTCAACATTGAGTTTTTGTATTTTCTAGACAATAACAAGATCCTCTTCAAAGCCTTCCAAATCGCTCTAATAGCAGTACTTGCAAGAGAAGTGTGTGGTGCAGTACCAGTCCTCAACTTTGCTGGTGAGATCTTCACAATGGCGTCTGGAGGCAAAGAACTGTTACTGTCGCCAAATCAACAAGCTATTTTGCTTGGATCAGTGCAAGTTGTTGGGTCAGTGTTCGCTTCAAGCATTGTGGAGAAATCCGGAAGAAAGGTAACATGTTTAGGAAAACTTGATACGGGGATAAAAATGCATCAAATAGAAATATCGGTGTCAAACGTCATCGATTTAAGTTATTTTATACAAGCTGTTTGAGCAATGGCTGGATATGATTCAGGCCGCTAGACGTTGTTAAGTAAAAAATTAAGCTGTTGATTTAACAGATAATTAAGCTAGTTGGCACACGAGGTTTATTTTTTTTTAAATACGGTACAATATTTATACCATATTTTCCATAATCTGAAGTTCACCACCTATTTACAAAGTGTTTCCATTTTTCTGGAATTTAATTTTATTTAATTTGGGCTCGTTGCTTGTTGTAAAACTCTAACTTTAACGCAGATTCGGATTCTTAAATTCAATGGAAATATATAAATTTTCTTTTAGTTGCATAAAACATTATAAAACTAAAGTATTTCTTTCCAGAATCTTCTATTCTTCACGTCACTCCTCTCAGCACTAAGCATGGGTGCTTTAGCAACATGGTTCTTACTCCAAAACTTTGACATCAGAGCTACATCTTGGCTGCCATTGGCAACTCTATGCTTGTGCATTTTCTGTGACTCTGCTGGTCTACAACCAGTTTCTATGGTTCTGGCTGGAGAGATTTTCTCATTCAAGGCAAGTATTTAAAATTATACTGTATAAACTTCGTGAAAAAATAGTTCACAAGAACACTTGTTATATATCCTAATCAGGAAATTAGCTTAGACTTAAATTACTTATTAGTCTTAAGGCTAGATCGTGAGACGTAGGGTCTCTCTGCATCTTCTGCCGCATTTTCCATGGAGAGTGTTCCGAGGAGTTTCATCATTGGACGTCGAGGCAGAAGACGAAGTTCCAGCCGTACTACAACGTTCGTTCAACAACTGAGCGTTTTTTTTTGCCACACACCACCACTATGTGGAACCAGCTGCCCACTGAAGTATTTCCGATCCAATTCTTAAAAGGCCGGCAACGCACTTGCGAGCCCTTGCATTGAGAGTGTCCATGGGTGGCGGTATTACTTTCTAAAAATAAAATAGATCGTAATGTTCCATGATGTCTCAGTGAACAGACAATGTTTAAAAAAATAACTGTATACTCTGAAACATTTGGGGTCTTCGTAGTCTCTTCTCATACTCTAGCAGTATCTCTTTTAAAATGGAAATTGTTAGGATTCCTTTGGACGCGTTTCGAAATACAATTGATAGCAGATAGCCATAAACATATACATAACATATGTTTAATCACGTATAGGTATTAATTAGAACACACAAGGCAGTTTTTTTCAAGGCAGTTTTTGCCGCGCACCACCACTATGTGGAATCAGCTGCCCACTGAAGTATTTCCGAACCAATTCGACTTAGGGTCCTACAAGAAAAGAGCGTACCAATTCTTAAAAGTCCGGCAACGCAATCGCGAGCCCTCTGGCATTGAGAGTGTCCATGGGCGGCGGTATTACTTAACATCAGGTGAGCCTCCTGCCCGTTTGCCACCTGTTCTATAAAAAAAAAAACACAAATATACAGTATTAACAATATTCTAACTTTGATAGTAATAATAATAATAAAAATGGATAAAGAGACAATTAAAAGAAATTTGAAAAGTTTGGTTCCTTTTCTCGCTACAGCGATACATATTCGTTAAGGAACACACCAGCTCTGGGGTCACCGGTACTAACCTCGCGCCAAGTTAAAACTTTAATTAGCGCGCGTGCACTTGAACCCCACGTCCCAACAGTCTCTACTTCAAAGGGAACCAAGTCGAAGTTGGAAGTTACGCAATGGGTTGATATTCTCGTGCTTCAATTCAATTTTTTTTTTTGTTTTAGTACCGTGGGACAGTTATGGGTGTAACAATGTCTATTGCTTCCTTCTCGGACTTTCTGCAACTCCTCTTCTTCAAACCATTGACCAATGAAATTGGAATATTTGCAGCATTCTACTTCTTTGCCGCCGTCTGCTTCTTTATTTCTGTTTATGTTATTCTATGTATACCTGAGACGAGAGCGCGAACTTTGGAAGATATTTATGGGGATTTAAGGAAAAAGGAGAAAAGAGAAATAAGAGAGAAAGAAGAAACTGATCTTTGATTTATTAAATATCGGTAATTACGCATTCCAAAATGTTTTTAGAGATGAAACAAAATAAACTACATAGAGAGAGAAAAAACAGTCTAAAAAATTACTGGATTTGTGAAAATAAAATAAATAAAATATTTTTGAGTAAATTACTTTGTATTTAATATATTAATGAATATAAATACCTAATATGATTAAGATTTTATGTTACTATCTCTTAACCATCATTGATGTTTTTTTAAAGATATTCAACAACAAATAGTTTGATCAATAGATTTGCTATCTATTGGTTAAGCAATAGACACTACACTATTAAAAAAATAGGAACTCTATATTTGTCAATCTAAAAGGTTTATCATAACTTTAAGAATCGAAAATAGAGCAAATAGGATGAAATAACTATTTATATTATTTTTAGCGATAATGAATCGTAAAAAACCTTCCTGTAATGGAAGAACCACAAGAAGAAACAGTCATAAACATTTATTAGTAACTAATAAACCAGAAGTACTTTCACGTTTATCACCGTTGATTACAGTAATTAAAACAAGAAATATTATGAGTATTTGGTATAAGGTTTTCTTATTAAAATTGGATGTTTTCGGAGTAAAGACTTAAAAATTAATAGAAAAGATACATAAAATGACTGATTTTTTCGACAACATCGTATCACTATAATTTTCAAAGCATTGAATTAGCGTTGAACTTGATCTATATAACTTAGGTTGACTTTTGTAGCAAAAAATGCGCTTCACTAAGGCCATAACCCTTCAGTTCATCTGCAAGCCACTTTGAGGATAGATTAATAGCGCCAAATTGAGCTGCAGACTTTCTACAGGGGCTTCGGGCGATGCCATACACCGTCATTTTGTTAGGCTGAAAGAAAGACAATGATTTAGGAGCTTGCTTCTATGCACCACGTGAATTTCCTGTATTATGGAAATATTTTTTGCTTATCCATTTTGAGGTGCGGCCAAGAGACTTAATTGAGCGGAGCGAGCGAAGCTCCCATGCGCCCACTCTTATGACACTCTGTACAAACACTAAGGCTTTTGAACGGCTTAACCGATTTTGAAAATTCTTTTTTTAAATTAAAGATGGAAAAGTTTCCCGTGCTATAGGCTATAAAAACTCAATAATATTTACGAATAAATCACAAAATAATCGGAAAAACTAATGTCTATGGGAAAACCCCTGTAAAATATTCGCACGCGCATTTCAGTGTCATTTAGGACTTTATAGGACTTTCGTCCTTTCAACAAAATCAAATCTTTAAATTAAATGTTTTGAATCTATGTATTTTTACTCATCATTAAAAATTGAGTTGAACACTCGCTCTGCTCAAATTTGTGCTGAAGCGAAGCATAATTGCGAGCACTGCGGCGTCCTAGTAAAATATGGAGGAGCATGAACCCCTTATGTTGTTCCAAAGACTTGCTTTATCAGCTCCGTAGTAAAATTCAAACTGAGATATTTTATACAAGACAAACTTAAATTTTACCCATTTTTAAGAAAACGTTCCGACACGACGCAAACAAAACACTTCTATTTTTTAAAAAAACAAAAGATAATGTAATAATGTACGGGCTTCCAGCAGAGCAGTATGGACTAGTGGCTTCAGCATGCGACTCTCATCAATGAGGTGCACCTCGGCTGTGCACCTATGGAACTTTCTATGTGGGCATTTAACATTCGCTCGAACGGTGAAGGAAAACATCGCGAGGATACCGTCTCGCCTTAGAACCAAAAAGTCGACGGCGTGGCGGCACAGAATGCTGATCACCTACTTGCCTATTAGATTGACAATTGATCATGAAACAGATACAGAAATCTGAAACCTAAAAAGGTTGTAGTGCCACTGATTTTTTTAATGTCTGGGCTATGGCTGACTATAAAAAAATCCCAGGAGAAAGTATCGCAATACCACTATTTATTGAACCCTCGTATTTTAAAACATGTAACATCATATTTTGACCTTTAAGTAATATTAAACAAATCTATTACCTCCTCCTCACAAATCACAGGGGCTCCAGTGGCCACAAAACATGGTTCATCATCAATAGTTTTACCACATGAGACGTCAACGGTTTCACCAGCTCCCGGTGTACAGCTACCCTTAGTAATTTCAACTAATGTCTGAAAAGATAAAATAAAATGAATAAAGTGTAGTAGATAATGCTAATACAATTTGATTTTTTAATGATAACGCATGGAGAACCAAAAAATTATTGACATAATTTTTTTACGGATGAAATGCAATTATAATAATATTAGCGTCACGAAGATGTGCAGCGTTTTTGTCGAAGAAAAGGGAAGAGCATTTGAGACCGATTAAGAGAGAGTGAGATAGAGTGAACGTCACATCACGCACAGTGCCATGGAGCGAAAGGTGGGAGAGAGCCATAGTGAGAAAGATTGAGAAAAAATACACGCTGTTGTTTGATGTATTCGTTTAGTAGTTACAGTTTACAGTTAGAACTTTAGATAGCAATTCTTGTGCAGTAAACGCAGATTTTTTTAGTTATTTATTTCATTAGAACGTATAAATTAAATAGTGTGAATATAGATATACAAATACATGGAGTGATCATATACTGGTACATGATCATTGGGGCTTTTACCTTAATAATTAATTTACAAAGAAGTTTCACTTCTGACATGTGTACCTTGTACGCACGCACTTTTTTCAAATTAGGTGATCAGCCCGAACCATAGTGACGAAGGCGAATTAATATAAATTGTGATAAAATCACAGTTGATTCGCCAATCAACAACACAGGAAACGCTACAAAGACAAAACCCGAAAACAGGAAGACTTAGGGATATCCCTTCCAATGGGAATAATAGTTTTCGCATATAGACTATTCAGTTTTAATATATTTTCGAACTCACCGAAACAAATTTATCATTTGCGTCATATCCAAACGAGAAACAGACAGGCTTAAAGGGTGACGTCAGAGCTAAACAGGCAACTTTTCGTTGATCGTTCCATTTCACTTCATCGTCTAATGTAAATAATGCCAGGTCGTACTCGTGTGAGCCTGAAATTAAAATACATAATATTATCATTATTAGAGCGTGTAGCGTGTACACGCTATAAGGCTTAAATGGAAATGGACAGGTCATGTTGCTAGAGCGCGGGACAAAAGGTGGACACTAGAAATTGCCTACTGGTGGACGACAAAAGAAAAGATGGACATACGACATTATAGAACTAGCGGGAAAACTGGATGAATGTTGCTCAAGACAAAGAGAAATGGAAAAATATGGAGGAGTTTATCCTAAAATGGGCCATACAAAAACTAGACCACAAAAAAGAAAAAAGACTTAAAAACGCGCATTTAACATTTGCTCGAACGTTGAAGGAAAACATCGTGAGGAAACCGACATGTCATAGAGCCGAAAAGTCGACGGCGTGTGTCAGGCACTGGAGGCTGATCACCTACTTACCTATTAGATTTAAAAATGATCATGAAACAGATTCAGAAATCTGGGGCCAAGACCTAAAGATGTTGTAGCGCCACTGATTTATTTCAATACTCCTATTTTTGTTTTTAAATTATTTTCTTATTTGATTTTTAAGTTGATAAAATTTATGTTTCATATGTATGTAGCTGTCAATCCAAGTATGAAATGGATGTTGCTAGTGACAGCAACTTATAGCTTAAACAACGACTTGGGACAAATTTTGATTAAAGTGATTGTGTTTGTATTTCTTTTCACAATCTCAAATATGGTGAATGGTCTGCGAACTCACTGATGGAAAAAGATGCTGTTAAAAGGTAATCTAGCTGAATTTGGGAACCAGAACCAGGAACCTAGTGGTTAAACTAGTTGCGGAACAGCCCCCGTTTCGTCCTCCACATGTACTTACCTGAGTTGTAATTGTCGTGCTGTTTTCTGTGTGTAACTGGATACATTTTTCCTGGTTCTGCCGAGTCTGGTATTTTAGCCCAAACATTTTGGTAGACAGACACAACGTGACAGGTAGCAGTCGTTAAAACAATTTTAGATCCTATAAGCACTCCCGCGCAGAAAAGCTCAGCCGCTCTTTCATTATTTTCGTCACCTCTAAAAAATAATCATAAGCATAAGATTTGGGAGTAATTTCTGTCACACTTGGGCTGCCAGCCCCAGCATTCCTGGTCATAGGTTCGAACCCCGTACACCAATGGACTTTTTGTCTATACAATACAAAGACAAGACAAAACAGACGTTTTAGCCCCAATCTCATCTAATATTAAGTGAGCTTGCCTGTCCAGGTGATGCCTATTTAGCTGCCGCTTTAATAAACCCATGATACTCTTTAGGAGAGCCTAATTTCAGCGTGCGACTCTCATCCATAAGGTGGTAAGTTCGATTCCCGGCTGCACCTATGGACTTTCTATGTGCGCATATAACATTCACTCGAACAGTGACGGAACAAGATTGGTATAATGTAGGTGATTTGAGGTTCTTACAGGTCTTACCATCACCCAGGCGCTAAGGCTTCCCCAAGACTAAGGAGAGAGAAGGAATTAATGCGGCGCTAACACGACCTTCAGAAATGAAGAGTACGGCTGAAGAAGGAATAAAATTCAACAGATCTTACCTATATAATGAAACACACCATGGGCAGAAATCACCATCGCGAGCAAAACATTCTGGAAAAAAAATTTAATATAATATCTCACCAATAATCTATGTTTAGATCAATTAGGGGAGATTTTGAAAGATGAATTCTGACTTTCAATAACAGTTTAGATATTTTTGTCTAATTTTGTTTGTAACGTTTAGAGGTTATACCTTTATAGTCCCGCATAATGAATATTTATTCCTAATGTTAAAAATCCGTTGAATTTTCTAAATTACGTCTGCAAAAACCAACCTAGGCTTTTCAGGCACCTCTCTTTCGAATTATTCGCGACTTTAACGGATTAAACAGTAGGTACTTATCCGAAGCTATATATTCGGTAGTGGGCTGATCTTTTTTAAAGAAAGCATTTTTAAGTGCCTATCTCTAAAACTTGTTAACTAAAATTGTCATATATTTAAGAAAAGATAGCTTGTAACATATACTGCAGATATAGCTTGTAACATATACGTATGATATGGTAAACTTCAATAAATAAATAGATAGATAAGACAATTTCAATATTTATTCTTATGTGTTACGTTTAAAGAACTTTATTTTCTCATTACAAAATGACACTTATTTACATGAGAAACTTCATATACGATCGACACGCACGTCTCCATCAGTAGCCGTCCTAATTTTTTTGTTTAATGGCCGTTTACATTGATTAACGACGAAAATATTAGAATTGTAGATTGTAATTAATTAAATAATTGCAAACCCTCCTAATAGACCTCTTCAAAAAATTCTGACGCGGCTTCGCTCGACGAGTTTTGCGTGTAGATTGATTTGCTTAAATGATAAGCCACTATTGCTCTCAATATCAAATAATTATCTAAAATCTTTTGAATTATGAGCTGCTAAATAAACAAAGTTGTTTGTCATAATTTTAGGCAGAGAGTATTAAAAAAACGTCAGGAGGCAAACGGACAGGAGTATCATTTATGTTAAGCGATGCTCATGGACACACATAGCCAGAAGGCTGTCTTTAAGAAGAATTGGTACGCTGTTTTTTTGAAGGAAATACTTCAGTGGGCAGCTGGTTCCACATAGTGGTGGTGCGCGGCAAAAACTGCCTTAAAAACGATCACTTGTGGAACGACGGACGTCGAGGTGATATGGATGAAAATTTGTATTCTGCCTTGACGTCCGATGATGAAACTCGGCTGCAGGTATTAGTCCGAACATCTCGTCTGAACACTCGCCATGGTAAATGCGGTAGAAGATGCTGGCAGAGAGACGCCAAATCTCTACACAACGCCAAGGGATCTAGCCGCTAGGAAAGTGACTGGTCGTCGACGATTCGAATCGCTCTTCGTTGAATACAGTCAAGTTGAAGGAGTTGGTACCGGGGAGCTCTCACCCAGAGGTGAGAACAGTACTCAATGTGGGGCCGAATTGGCGCTTTATAAAGTTGAAAGAGGTCTCCCGATGTGAAGTAACTTCTCGCCTTGCTAAGCACCAAGCTTCACAGAGCTTAGCCTTTTCTACCAAATGACCGCGCAACTGAACGTCATTCGATATGTCAACGCATGTTGTATGACCCAATATAACGAGTTATGTACAAATTATTCACTATAATATTTACATTCGTAAAACAATTTTTTTCTTCTGTCTAATTAGATAAATTACTGTATTACAATTAGTTATTTTTGACAATTTACACTTAATATATAACAATGTTTATATCGTCAAATAGAAAAAAATTGCTTTCGTTTTATATGTCTAGTTGTAATAGTAGTTTTAGTTAGTAGTCTTGTAATAACAGCATTGCATTCTTTAATTTTTTTCTGAAAACTGCTTTTACGACTTTGTTCCCATGTAAGCGAAATTAAAGGGTTATTAGAGTACCGTGTTATAAAAATACCTTCTTTATTCACAACTTCCGGGGGTTTTGTAATATTACTTTCGGAACAGCACCAGTTTAAGCCACCCCTACACGCATCGCCTGATCTGAAACTCGAAAAATGTATTGTAACAACACAGTTGTTAAATGTTGATGTAGTCACCGAAAGGTAGCATCAATAACTTTTTGCTGTTGGCAGATGAAATTGCATTTATGGCGGGTTAGAGACAGGAAAATAAAGAAAAACCTGGCATTCTATAGATGAGGCTTTTATCCTTATATAAATACTAGCTGACCTGGCAAACGTCATTTTGCCATGTTATAATAAAAAATAGGGGTTGATTGTAGAGGGGTGAAAATTAGGGGTTGTATGTATTTTTTAATGTTGTATCATAAAAAAAATACAAATTAAAAAAATTATCAAAAAATAAAAAAATATATTAGGGGTGGACTACCCTTAACATTTAGGGGGATGAAAAATATATGTTGTCTAATTCTCAGTTATACCCAATAAGCACACAAAATTTCATGAGAATCGGTCAAGTAGTTTTGGAGGAGTTTAACCACAAACACCGCGACACGAGAATTTTATATATTAGATTATTTTACGGCATATTTGTCGAAACACGGCTTCACCTTAAAACAGCACCAATTTTTTTCTACATATTTTCACTCAGCAATGGTGTACCATGCAATGATGTGGTGGCGCAGGCTCTGTAACCCCATAGAAATTAATTCAAACATCATGATTTTTGAAACGAATGAAAGAAGGTAGAAATTTTTGGCTTTGACCTAACCTAACCATTAGGTTGACCAAATATTACTAATGTAATCCACTGGGGCCTACTGGGAACTGAGAGAATATTATTTACATCATGCATGTATTATTATCAGCTTAAAAAAAATAACCAAAGTCCAGGGCTCCAAAGTAAATAACGATAGAAAAGAAATGGGTTTTAAGTTGGAGCCTTGATTCGATTTATTATTAATAGCTGTTTTGCTCCTTATACGAGTATTTAACGTTTAAGTGATTTCTCTGAAATCAAATCACGTCGAGAGAATCTTCGTTCTTCGAAATCTTTGTTCAAAATAAAATATGATGAAAATTTTTATTCAAGAATAAATTTGCTAATGAGACATTAAAGAATGCGTATAAAACAAATAATATATCATGCCTATAATAATATCATGTTTATAAAGATCATAGAAATTTATTCTATAAGTATGAAATATTTCCTAACCAATTCGACTTAGGGTCCTTCAAGAAAAGAATGTACCAGTTTTTAAACGGCGGGCAATGTGAGGCCCATGGGCGACAGTATCACTTAGCATCAGATGAGCCTTCTGCCCGTTTTTTTTGTTACATTAAAAAAACTCTAGACTTTTCGTAAACTGAGCCTCCCGTATTCCAAAATCCACGTTGAAACAGCCCGTTGGTAATCTCATAATAAAAACTAAGAAACTGATGTTTATTAGTTTTTATGCACTATGCTGATTTCTTTAAATCTAATATATAAAATTCTCGTGTCACAGTTTTCGTTGCCATACTCCTCCGAAACGGCTTGACCGATTCTCACGAAATTTTGTGTGCATATTGGGTATGTCTGAGAATCGGACAACATCTATTTTTCATCCCCCTAAATGTTAGGGGTAGTCCACCCCTAATTTTTTTTTATTTTTTTTATGATTACAACTTTAAAAAAATACATACAACCCCTAATTTTCACCCCTCTACGATCAACCCCTATTTTTTTATTATAAATGATATACATGGCAAAACGACGTTTGCCCGGTCAGCTAGTTTTTTATAAGATTATCTTAGGTTAGCTAATTACGTATTAACTTAAGTAAGAAGTATCCTTAAGTGGAGTGAATTACATGGATGTCACAACTTTTTAAAGTAGAATTGTGTTGCGCGGTTTTTAAATTATGTTTTTGATGGTTTGGTTTTACCTTAATTCACTGATATCTATAATTCCTCCGCGCTCGATAACATCTCCCTCCTTTTTACAGTTTGTATAATCTACACATATCCCAGATCTTCCATCTGCTATTGTGCACTCTTTTCTAAACCTTACTGAAAATAATTGCAATAGATTTAATCGTGAATCGTGCCTTTGAGACTATAATGTCAGTATTTGACTAATAATGTATGTATTTGTTATTTTGTAAGCCGTCGATTTTTGGGTCAAAGGCATGCCTTCCTCCATCGAAAGAACTAGTGTTAAGCGCGCATTAGGCAAGCAAAGTTCATGATTTCACCCTCGTGTCTCCCTCCACCCGCCCTAGTGACGTATGCCTGAAGTTCGCGTGAGATGAGACAGACGATACAGTGTTTCGCGGTACAAAACTAAATTAAACGCCGAATGCTTTTGATTTAAATTCTTCGTAAAATATATAATAAAACCCCTAGTTACTTGGAGCAAAATTTTATGTTCCTCACTGGCGGTAGTTTTGATTTGCGTTCCTTAGACAATCTAATTCTTGAAACTCCCATTCATAAAACTGAGTTCTATCACTCCTCCTTCACCGTGCAAAGTATCCTGTCCTGCGATTCTGTAACTCACTTTTCGACCTCACACAGCGGTGAAGTGAGAGTTCGAAAAGTGAGTTACAGAATCGCAGGGCTGATATGGATTTATTCCTTACCTACGTCTTTAAATTTATTTAAAAATCTCCTTTTTGATCATTTTTTTTCTGCCTCGTAATTAGCTACTACTTTTATATATTAATTGTGAGTCAATTAACCTTAGGCTGAGCTTTTACATGCCTGTTTATACATACTATTATTTATATTTTTTCTTTAGATTTTATTTTATTTAATTTTAGTTATAGTTGCATGTTATTTTTAGTATCTTTTTGTTAATTAATATGCATTTCTTGTACTTTACCTCTGTAGGTGTTTCTTTTTATTGATTCTTAGTAGGGTTGCCTGGAAGAAATCGCTTGTTAGCGATAGGCCGCCCGTTGCCTAATAACTTATGTAACCTACTTACTTTTTTTTATATGTATAATTATGGCAATGAAGTATAAATAAATAAAATCGCTAGTAACAGCTCTCGGTCTAAGTAATGTGCTTATTATTATTATATATATTTATGGCTCCGTAATATTAGCCATGATTAAATAAAAACGAAATTAGACAAAAGTTAGAGGAGACTGTATTTTTTTTGTATCGAGGAATTATTATTGTATTTGATATTATAGTAAGGGATCAATCAATACATGTTTATTGTTTTTAATTCAAACATCACATACTTATGTAAAATCAAATCTACGATGAGTGATTTTAGTTAGTCCCCGCTCTGAACTGCGTTCATGGACAGAAAAAGTCTAGTTCGCAGCCAGGGTTCGAACCTGCGACTGCCAAACCACTGCTTAGCTGCTACCCATTATTCAATTTTTATTTAGTGACCTCCAGATGCGTTTCTTATCCTTGAGGTCGTGGGCTCAAACCTAAAGATTGGACAATAGATTTATGTCACCAAGTAACACTTGCTCGCAGAGTTTCTTGGAATTTAATAAAAATTCTGGAACAGCTGATGGTTATGACGCCGCTGGATTATTCTGATTTATTTATGGTTTTAGTATGTTAAATTGATTATTATTACTGTTTAGTGTTCGCATAATATAAGAACTACATATATAGAGCAGTGTTGGCCTAGTGGCTTCAACGTGCGACTCTCCTACCTGAGGTCGTAGGTTCGATCTCTGTGCACCAATGCACTTTCTATGTGCGCATTTAACAGTTGCTCAAACGGCGAAAGAAAACATCCAAACAAGTGAGGAAACCGACTTGCCTTAGACCCAAAAAGTCGACGGCGTGTGTGAGGCACAGGAGGCCTACTTGCCTATTAAATCGACAAATCATTAAACAGAAATCTAAGGCCCAGACCTAAAAAGGTTATAGCACCAATCACAAACGAACGCAACCTTTCGTCATGCGTCATTTGTTTTCCATCATATTAACTGCCTTAGGCCTTATTTTAGAGGCTTCCTTCTAGGGATCGATTCCTAGATGAAAAATGGAATAACGCTATTTCTCAAAGTAAAACTTCAATGATAGCAGTTTGGTAGTATTTCAACACCCACATGCATGTTCTGTACATACTTTAGTTGTGTCATATCATCCCATCGTAGTACAAGAACGGAATAGCGAGTGTGTGCGAGCAAGATCTACTACATTTGACGAGTAAAATTTCAACTTAACCAACCAATCAACTTAGGGTCCTTCAAGAAAACAGCGCACCAATTTTTAAAAGGCCGGCAACTTAATTGCCAACCAATTCGACTTAGGGTACTTCGAGAAAACAGCGTACCAATTCTTTAAAAGGCCGGCAACTTAATTGCCAACCAATTCGACTTAGGGTACTTCGAGAAGAGAGCGTCCCAATTTTTAAAGGCCGGCAACTTTATTGCCAACCAATTCGACTTAGGGTCCTACAAGAAAAGAGCATCCCAATTTTTAAAAGGCCGGCAACTTAATTGCCAACCAATTCGACTTAGGGTCCTACAAGAAAAGAGCGTCCCAATTTTTAAAAGGCCGGCAACTTATTTTTAAAAGGCCGGCAACTTAATTGCCAACCAATTCGACTTAGAGTCCTTCAAGAAAGGAGCGTACTAATTCTTAAAAGGTAACGCACTTGCGAGCCCTATGGCTATGTAACTGTCTATGGGCGGCGGTATCCTATTATATATATAGATGAGCCCCCTGCCCGTATGCCCTGTGATATAAATAAAAACCTATAGCCTAGCCTAGTAAAATGTGAATTGGTATAAATAGTGTAATGCAAACCATTAAAATTTGGCGTCAGGTTTGGACCAGACGATTGAGCTACGACAGCTGATATTAGAACTAAAAAGGTCAAATTTTCGGAAAACGCCATTATCTGAAAAATAAAATAGTTTTTACAATATTCTTAACCTTCATAGTAATAATAATAACAATTGATGAATAGAAAAATAAAACAAATTAAAAAGTTTGGTCCCTGTGACACAGAGCTGTACTTTCGTTGGCGAGTAAAGCACCAGCTCTGGGGTCACCAGTACTATCTGCCAGGCGCCTACTTAAATGTTTAAATAGCGCCTGTGTACTTGAACCCTACGGCCTGCGCAAGAGTCTCTACTCCAAATAAGAAACGATTATATTTCTAATTTTTTAATTCTGTCAAAACTGACTTTATTTAATTGTAAAATAGTGAATTTGTTAGTCTGTGGAAATAGACGATTATAATAAATCTAGTATTGTCTTTGATTAACATAACTTTTATTCATTTAATAAAACACTATTTTGACCGGATTGAAGTTATGTATTATTATAAATTTACAACTATTTAACATCTCCTCATCCTCTCCCTCCGACCGCGGAAGCGCTTGGACTGTCCACTGTGTTGAGTTTTGTGAGAAATTTAAATTCAAAATCTTAAATTAAAATACTAAATTGAACTGTTTGGATTTTTGTGGTTTTGAACCCGTGCCTCTTCGTGGATGGGCTGTGTGGTGGGCGCTGTTGTTTGCCATTACACCAAACGGTTGAGTGCCGGCGAGTCGAAATTCTACATCACATTCGGCTAATGACGTAAGTAAGACTACGACGCTTGTGATTTGCTACGTTACTACATAGCTGTTATACCTGCTACGATCAACTGGTGCGATTGTCTATTGTTGCTTTTGCGATATTGAACTCTGGGTTCATTGAAGATATGCCCAATATCCAACACTCACCCCCTCGTAACACTTCTGTGATGTCTTGTTCCCGATCGGAGTCTGATCTTTCGAAGTCTCCGATGACGAGTGCGGGCTGTATTGCCAAGGGTGACACCAATATAACAACGCGCTCCAAGCGACAACGAATGGAGACCTCTTCCCGAATGCTCATTCTAGTTCCGAAAGTAGCGACTTAAGAGCGGATGTCCTGAAAATGCTTTCTGAATGGAGAGAGGATCAAGAACGAAACCTATGTGAATGGAAGTCCACTCTAAATGACACCTTAAACAAATTATTTTCTGAATTATCCAATATAAAAACTGAATTCCAGGAAATAAAGAAGTCTAACTCAGAAATAGAAAAAGGAATAGAATTTATAAACAAGCTTCAGGAGGAGACCAATGACAGAGTAAAGGAAATTGAAACTAACCAAAAAAATAATAAAAATGCCATAAAAACTTAGAATCGCATATCCAGGATATACAGTTTCGTACAAGAGATGCATCTCTGGAGATCCGCAATATCCCGATTTCTGAAAATGAAAAGTTTGACAACTTACTCTCGACCCTTTCTGTCATCGGCAAAGCTGTGGATGTCGATATAAATAGGAGTGATGTACGTGACTTGTATCGGCTGCCGGGTAGACCGGGAGTATCAAGACCTGTTGTTGTTGAATTTACGAGTGTTAATGCTAAAAATGATTTATTGACTAAGCTGCGAAACTTTAACAAAGGAAGGCCGGTTTCTGAGAAGCTCAATACTCATACTATCGGGTTGCCAGGAATAAAGACTCCACTTTACATTGACGAACATCTAGGTCCATCTCAAAGAAAACTTATGTTTGAAACCCGTCAATTTGCCAAGAAACATAACTACTCGTGCTGGCATTCAAATGGAAGAATACTTTTGCGTAAGGATTCGACTGGTAGACCGATTTTAATCCAATCAGAAAAATGCTTATCTCAGCTGGCAAAGGAATCATGACTCATTGCATGTAACTGCTTTCTCATTAACCTATATTGCCAATTAACTGTATATTGTTATTTATTTCTATTGATTTACTTTAGTCTTACTAGTAATAAAATTACCTTAGTCAATTTTTTCATGTTAAGTTCTCGTTTAGTCTATAATGTATTTTCGTTTGAATTTGTATTTGCTCTTGCACTTATTTTAACCTATACTCACACACTCACTGAAATTATACACCACTTACACTCAATATATACAAAGTGTACTCATAGAAAGAATGTAACTGTTAACAACAATCTCTGTCTGTCTTCGTGCCGTGTGTATGTGTATTGTGTTGGTCTCATTTGTGTGGCGTTGTCCCCGGGATTGTGGAATCCTCGTAGGGTTGTGCTGTACCGCGTGCCTTTTTGTCTTACCATAGTTGCGGACTCAATAAATAAAATTCGATAAAACTAATGCAATTATAAATGATATCGATAAACTTGATGTTGCACAATCTTCTCTTTGTGACATAGAGGACTGCCGGAGACTTATGAACTGCCCGAATAAGTGTCTAAAAATTATCCATCAAAACATTCGTAGTATAAAACGTAACTTCTCTGATTTTCAAACCTTATTGTTTAGATCCAGGACTGATTGGGACTTAATAATCTTAACGGAATGTTGGCTGCATAATAATCGTAACTTACCATCTTCTTGAGGGATACAACTCTGCTCTAACCGAGAAAAACTTCACACAGAATGAAGGAGTTGTAGTATTTTACAAAAGAACATTTGAAATTAGTTATATCCGAGCCTGACCTTTGTGATGCCAACTGTTTACTGATTAACCTTGAGGATAATGTAACACTAATTGCAGTATATAGACCACCTGGTTACAAAGATGTTCAACGGTTTTTGGTATCTCTTGACAAACTTCTTTCTGAGATTAGTAGTACTCATAAAGTTCTGATAGGTGATATCAATATTGATATATTGGATAACAATAAGGATGTTAATTCTTCAACGTATTTGAATATGTTGGCTTCTCATGGTTTATTGCCAGCCCACTTATTTCCAACTCATGGCAGGACTTGTCTTGACCATGTAATACTAAAATGTTCTTATCGCGTCTTCTGTTATGTTGCTGAAACCTCAGTCACGGATCACGACACTTTAATTCTGAAACTTGAACGTAGCACTATGACTGACAAATACTCTTCTCTGAAAAAGATTGATTACCCGTCTTTGGACGATGCTATGAAGAACTTAAACCTAAGCCTTGTATATAAAATGACTGATCCCAATGAGGCAACAGCATTTCTTCTGACTGCGCTTGACACTGTAATTAAAGCAAATACGAAAACTTTAACCATCCCAAATCGTAAAAGGATCAAGAGGCCTTGGACGACTGCAGGTCTACTAAGATGTGTAAAGCATCGTGACAAACTACATCAAAAATCAAGAAAAATCCTAGTAACGAAATATTAACGTTAACTTACAAGAGGTATAGAAATTTTTGCAACTCACTTTTAAAAAATATTAAAAATACTTATGAGAGAAACCGCCTACTTAAAGCTGCTAAGACTAATACAAAAGTTCTCTGGGACACTATCAAACAACTAACCTACTCCAACAATACAACTAGCACTGCACTTGAATTGGTCTCTCCACTGGACCCTATGGTCTCTGTCAACAACATTAATAAATATTTCGTTTCTATCGGGAAAGAGATTGCCGAAAAAGCATATTCTAGTAGCTCTTATAAAAAACCATCAATCAATCCTACACTGTCCTCATTCGTCATGCTACCTACTGATGTAGTTGAAGTTCAATCTCTTATCTTGCAACTGAAGAAGGACGGTGCTGCGGGCAGAGATAATATTTCTGGAGCCTTTCTCAAACGTTATCATGAAATCTTAGTCCCTCCACTTACATATATATTTAATTTGATTCTTTCTACAGGGATCTTTCCGGACCTATTCAAGCTAGCTGAAGTAATTCCGGTTTATAAAGGTGGTAATAGAGATTGTGTCGGTAACTACCGACCTATTTCTAAACTATCTACGCTATCCAAAATCATTGAGAAATTGATAAACAAACGCCTCATCGATTATTTAGAAAGTAATAACCTACTCTCCAGCTCACAGTTTGGATTCAGACCGGGTTCATCAACAAGCGACGCAGTTCATCAATTAACTGATCATATTGTTACAAAACTAGATAAGAAAAATAAAATTTTAGCTGTATTTTTGGACATTGCAAAAGCTTTTGACGCGGTCGCTGGTCCTATTCTGCTGGATAAATTGGAGGCTTTGGGTATTCGTGGTTTGCAGCTTAAACTATTTGATAGCTACTTGAGTGATAGACAGCAAAGAGTAAGGGTGGGCAACATTGTTAGTGACGATTTGCCGATACGCTATGGTGTGCCACAGGGTAGTGTTTTAGGTCCGACACTGTTTCTGGCATTTATCAATGATCTTTGTGACCTCCAGTTACAAAATGGTAAAATAATAACATTTGCAGATGATACTGCACTTGTGTTTCATGGTGATAGCTGGAAAGATACTGTCGACATTGCTCAAAGAGGATTCGACGTTGTTAACAAATGGCTCAGAATGAATGCCCTAACTATCAATGTCAATAAAACTAAATGTATACCGTTCTATATAAAAACTCCTGGTTCTAGTACTAACCTTGGTTTAACTGCTCATGTATGTTCTGATACTGATTCTTGTGACTGTCAAAAGATCTTTGTTGCCAACAATACTAAGTATCTAGGTGTCGTTGTTGATAGCACGCCAAAGTTTAACTACCACATTGACCTGCTACTATCGCGAACTCGGAAACTTATCTTCACCTTTAAGAATCTCCGTAATATTGCTGAAAAATCGATAATTAAAATGGTTTATCAATCCCTCTGCCAATCCGTTTTAAGCTATTGTGTTACTGTCTGGGGAGGGCTTGTAAAACTAATCTTATAAAACTGGAGAGGGCTCAGCGTGCGTTATTGAAAGTAAGTTATTCTAAACCATTTTTTTACCCTACCAAAGATCTATATCTTTTATCTGACGTGTTGAGTGTTCGTCAACTATTTATACTGAACACTGTGCTCAAACAACACTCCATAACTCGCTATGATCCTTCTTTGAATGACAACAAACGATGCAAATATAAAGTCTGCACCTCAGATACCCGTTGGTCCACAGCTTTCTCAAGAAGGTTTTTTGGT